TCGGCTCAGATCATGATCTCACAGTCCGTGGGTTCGAGCCCCGCTTCAGGCTCTGTGCTTACAGTTCACAGCCTGGAGCCTGCTTCGGATTCTGTGTCTCCCTCTCTCTCTGCCCCTCCCCTGCTCAAGCTCTGTCTCTGCCTCTCTCAAAAATAAATAAACAAGCATTAAGAAATAAATTTTGTTTAGTAAGACTTCAAGATAAAATATGAAGCTCTTATGTAATCTCTGATGTCTTTACTTCCAACGTATCTACATATTAAATAATTTTTTCTTTGTTTAAGTAAAATTTAGGTCTCCAGAGGTATTCACTTTAAGTTTTTATCCCCCTACAAAGTTTTTATCCCCCCCAAAGTTTTTATCCCCCCCCCCAGCTTTACTAAAGTGTATTGAAAAGTTTATTGATAAGGTAGTAGAAAAAAAATTGAGAAATTTAGGGTTAGATTTTAAATTTAAAGTTTGAGTTGCCAGCAGTTAAAAATAATGTTTGTAGAGCTTATGTTACCGTCTAAAATTATATTGATGATACCCTCTTTAAAAAACAAGAATTCTGGGGGCACCTGGGGGGCTCAGTCAGTTAAGCGTCTGACTCTTGATGTCGGCGCAGGTCGACATGGTTCATGAAATCAAGGCCTGTGTGGGGCTCCGTGCTGACAGCATGGAGCCTACTTGGGATTCTCTCTCCCCCTCTCTTTGCCCACCCCTCAAAATAAACAAATAAACATTTGAAAAACTAAAAATAAAAAATGATTCTTCATGGATTTGTATGATCTGAAATATAAGCTTAAGCTTTAACTTATTGCTGATTGCGGAATCCTTTCTCATTTTAGTAAGCACTATCTTCATTTCAGAAAAGGATATAACTAATTCAATAGCAAGAGTTTCTAAAAATTCTTCTATACTTTTGTATTCCATTGAGATAGTCTGTTGTTAAATGCCTTTTGTATAATGCATTTTGTGCTATTTTGTAAAATAAATTGAATCTATAACTTTTCATTTTTTTATAGGCCCAAGCTCGTTGCCACAGAATCGGTCAGAATAAAGCAGTTAAAGTCTACCGACTAGTAACTCGTAACTCCTATGAGAGAGAGATGTTTGACCGAGCCAGTCTGAAACTGGGTCTAGATAAGGCTGTGTTACAGAGCATGAGTGGAAGAGAAAGTAATGTTGGTGGTGTATGTATATTTTCTTTTTACTTGGAGCTTTTATGTTCTTATTTGCTTTTAATTTAACGTCAAGTTGCGTATCATTTTATTTTGGTCCATCCTGAACACTAAATAGATGCTTTTATGTAAGGAGGCATTTCAGAATAGACCCATATTTAGCTAATGCTTGTGAATCATTTTCTGTCATATTGCTACAGGCCTTGTGAACTCTGAGAATGTGTTTTCAAGGTAGAAAGTCTTTGCTGTGCTTTTAGGTTGTTTGTATCATGGCATAGCAAAACAGAATTGGTGAATTTTTCTGCATTATTTCTATAAAGTTTTTCAGCTTTTTTTCGGTGTCAAACTACTGGCATTGGCTTTGTTTTGTTATAAGTAAGGTTTTTTTTGGCATTTTTTTCCCTCAAGATTGTTGTCTCAAATCTTATGCTTGTAACAACTGTAGAATCCTACTACTAAAAATAACTTTGAGAGGTTACCTGCCCTATAGGCTTTGTTGTAACTGAAGCTATTATAGGTACAAGGCAAATCTTACTTTAAAGATAATAAGGAAAAGTCAACAATTTCAATGTATTCTTTCAGAGAATTCTTTCTTATTTATACTGTAAACCCAAATGCAGTTTAAACGTGACTCTTTGTATTTTGAAATTTTTTAGGGGTGCTTTCTCATTTTATGAATTTCAAAATAATATTGTTACCAAAACTATTTTCTCTTTAGATTCAACAGCTTTCCAAAAAGGAAATAGAAGATCTGCTTCGAAGAGGTGCATATGGTGCTATTATGGAGGAAGAAGATGAAGGCTCTAAATTCTGTGAGGAGGATATCGATCAGATTTTACTACGTCGTACAAAAACTATCACAATTGAGTCAGAAGGACGTGGGTCAACATTTGCCAAGGTAACAGTGATATTTTATAAATATACCAGTAATGTTTACTACTAAAAATAATTCCACTCTTACTCTACTAATCATTTGCAGAGTACCTACTTAATGTTTACGAAGTAAATAAAATGTTCTTTTCCTTCATTTCTTTTTTCTGATTTCTCATATCAAATTTCACATATACTGGAGTAAGAATAATAACCAGGAATAGTTCTATGTATTAGAGTAGAACACTTAAAATAAGATTTAGAAATTAAAGAACATCTATGCTGAAGTCAGAGCAAAATGTAAGAATATAGGTTAAATCGTCTTACGTTAACTGACCGTAATTTCAAGTACTTAAAGAAGAGAAAGGATTTCTAATTTCATCTTAAATATTTAAATCTAATCTGGGGAGGGGAAAATTTGTGTCTGGAAAGGAAGTGTTAATAACTACCTTACTTGGGGAAAACATTTCAAAAGTTTACTAAATTCCTAGATTCACCTCTACCCCCCCTTTTTTTTTTTACAAAGAGACATGATAAACCTATATCTTATATTCATCTGAAAAGTTTATTATTGCAATATTCTGTGTCACCTGCACTGATTCATACAGGCTTTCTCCTTTTCCCTTTACTTCCTTTCTGTATCCCCCTATCCACTTTCAACCTGGAAGTCTATCTTTATCTTTATGGAGAGCTCTGTGTTACAGCAGGTACTGGAGACTATATCCAAAATAATATCAGTCTTCAAATGAAAATTTTTCTTTTATATTCCTTCAGCAAAAATGAAATCATGTGTCAGGTACTTTGCTAAATACTGGGAATACTAAAATGAAAGGGTTCTAGTTGCTGAAAAAGTAGAGAAGAAAATGATTAATTTTGCATAAAATTGAAGAGCCAGAGAGTCAGGAAAGCCTTTGCAGAAAAATAACATCTGAGTCTTGAAGGCAGTGTGAATTTCATTGTGTTACAGAGAGCATCACAAGAAATGAATCCTGTGTTGCTAAACTATCAGGAAGATTTCAAGGACTATGCATAGGCATGTGTAGATGCACAGGGAGATGAAAATGAAAGGATTAGGGAAGGTTAGATCCAAATTGTGAAGGGCTGAAAAAATTCCATTTTGAGGAATTTGAACTTGATCCTGAGGCAGTTAAAAAGCTTTTAAATCCCTTCAAGCAGAAAATGGACAAAATGAATGCAGTTTAGAAATTTAATGCTAGCAGCAATGTAGAGAATGAGTTTGAAAGGAGGAAAAACTAAAGGCAGGGATACCGATTAGAGGCTTATATAGGATACAATGATGGGTGAACTAGGGTAGCGGAGTGCCACTTGAATCAACAGGAGTTGATGACCAGTTAGGAATGTATGGAAGGGGGAATCAAAAAGGACTTGAAGATCTCAGGCTTAAGTAGCTAGAAGGGTCATGGTATCCCTAAGTAAAATAGAGAATGCAAAAGAAGGAAGTTTATGTGGAGAAAACAATATACTGGGCCTTTACAGGGGATCCAAGAGGAGGTGTCTGGGAGAGTTGTTTAGGATACAGATAGAGATTTGAGAGTTCACAAAGAATAAACCTGAAAAAAGTAGTATTGTGGAAACAAAAGGAATAGTGCAGAAGTATAAGGCTGAGAACTACAACTGGTCACGATTGGGTAGATGTACCATGGCTTTGACTTCTTTCCTGAGAAATCTTGTTTACTCTGGGTTCCTCGGCTCTACCCAAGTTGTCAACACACTGCGTCCAGCTACTACAGAAATCACCATTGTTGGTTATTCCATGCCTAGAGAAAATCTTAAATTTGTTTTATTTTTTAGTTAATGTAGGCATATGTAAAGTGTTTAACGACCACAGGAGATTCCCAAGTTTACCATGCTAATGAGAATCATCATGAAAGTCAGAATACCAGAGTTTGAATTCTGACTCTGAAGCTGAGTGACCTTGGACAGTTAACCTTTAGGAGTCTTTCTTGTCTTTAAAGAGGAGAGCATAGGGGCATCTGGGTGGCTCAGTCGGTTAAGCTTCCAACTTTGGCTCAGGTCATGATCTCGAGGTCTGTGAGTTCAAGCCCCGCATCAGGCTCTGTGCTGATAGTTTGGAGCCTGGATCCTGCTTCGGATTCTGTGTGTGTGTGTGTGTGTGTGTGTGTGTGTGTGTGTCTCAAAATAAATAAATAAATATTTTTTAAAAAGACAGCATAATAGTCTTGGCCTTTTATACTTTATAATAAAGTGCTAGATGAGTATTATTTTACTCAAGTATACTCTAGTCATAACCAGCTGTGCTCTAAGAATGTGAAATACTTAAGCATTTAAATTTCTATTTGAAATCCTCAGACCAGGGAGTAACTTGTATTTGAAAAAAGAGCCGGCTGAAGAGGTGCTTAAGTAGCTGAGCGAGTCCAGAGAATTTGCCTGTAGTTGTCCTAGAATTTGTTCATTTCCACAGTTGTGTGGGAATGCCACTATGTAGTAGACATTTGGCATATTAGAATATGGCACCAGGATGTAGTGGCACCAAAGGTGCAAAGTTAGTAGTATTTTATACTTTTTCCTGGAATTTCCAGACTTCCTCTGTGCTCAGTTATTCTTAGTGGTTTGGATAAATGAAGTAATTCCAATCCATCTCTTTGCATTATCAAATAATTTTTAAAAGAAGCCATATATATGGAGCAGAGTGCATAATGAGACTGTTTATTTAGACTTCGTACATATCCATCAAATAAAACTCATTATTGGTAACTTGATAAGTGCTTATATCACCTGAACTTTATTTTGAGATAATTTTCATAAGGGCAATAAGGTGGATCCTAGAAATAGAAATGTTCTAGTCTGATTTTTTTTTTCTGGTATAGAACAAGACTTTGAATTGCTTAATTTACAAAAACAAACCAGTCTGTGTCAAGCTTCAGTGGATTGCTTATTTGTAAAGGCCCTTCTGTACACCCACTATCTTTCTGCTACTTTCTAATGTAGAAAGATGGATTTCAGCATATAAAATACCTTCCTTTGTAAATAATAAAAGGATTTAATGACTAGAGGAAAACATTTAAGGAAAAATATTTTTGGAGGAATAAAAATGTTAAGATTTAACATTTGGAATTAATCAGTAAACCTATACCTGATAACATCTTCTACAACAGGCATTTTATTTTTATAGGCATTAATTCATTAAAATCCTTCAGAATTTTGAAAGTCATCTTGAAAATAGGCTATATGTCATTTAACAATAGCATCTAAAATTATTTAGAAATATTTTTTAATTTTATTTGAAAAGTAAATTTATCGTTTTTCTTACAATGAATGTAACAAAAGCTGCAATTGTGAAGGATAGTTTCTTCCAGGTAAATTATTTTAATTATCAACAGTTACTTGGTAGCAGAATAAAAGTGATTATCCACAGTAACATAGGATTTTTTTTAAGATTAGCAATCATAATCTAATATGTTCCAGAAATCTAATTGTTAATTTTTAATGACTTTTCATATTTAATGTCTTTTCCTATTAAATGTCCATGTAAAGCAGATGCTCATTTGCTAGCTTTGTTAAATCTCAAGAAGCATGTTATCAGTGAAACTATATAGTACAAAATAAAACCCAAAGAACATCAGTGAACTTTTCAGTGTTCCTGGAAGTTGATGAATCTAATTAATGAAGATTTGAAAGTATGGATATCATATGTCCTCAGTTATGAGAAATTCATTTCTGAATTAACAAGTAGAAGTCCCCTAATAGTTTAAGAATTACTTGAGCAAATTTAGATATCTCTTCCTTACACTCATTCATAATACTTTGTCATCAAATACTTCTATGCAGATGATGATGGCTACTACTTTTCATTTTATCAAGTTGGTTAGCCTATGCTGTTTTAAGTTGGATATGGGTTTTTATAATAGTATTTTATCATGAAGAGGAGTCTGGCTATACTATTTCTTGTTGCCACTGTGACAAATCACCACAACATACATTTATTCTCTTATAGTTCTGGACGTCAGAAGTCCAAAATGAGTCTTTACAGGCTAAAACTCCAGGTGTCAGTAGGATGGGTTTTCCCTGGAGGCTCCAGAGGAGACTCTGTCCAGCTTTTTTGAGTGCCTACATTTCCTGTTTGTGACCATATTATTCCAGTCTCTGCTTCTATTGTCACATAGCCTTTTCCTCTTATAAGGACAGTTGTGATTACACTTAGAGCCTACAAAGCTATAGTTTTAGAGCAAGCAAAAAAACCAAAAAACAAACAAAAAAAAAAAACCATAAAATTTAAATTCATTTCTTTTTTTAAAATTTTTTTAATGTTTTATTTATCTTTAAGACACAGAGAGACAGTGCACAAGCAGGGGAGGGGCAGAGAGAGAGGGAGACACAGAATCCGAAGCAGGCTCCAGGCTCTAAGCTGTCAGCACAGAGCCCGATGCGGGGCTCAAACTCATGAATTGTGAGATCATGACCTGAGCTGAAGTTGGACGCTTAACCAACTGAGCCACCCAGGCACCCCTTAAATTCATTTCATTAAAATATTTATTGCTATCACTTCTGTTTCATAAGTATGCCAGCAAAATGTACATTTTAAACATTTATAATATTTCAACACTTATTATATAGCATCTTAACCCAGCCTCAAAAGAATGTTTGATGGAATGAATATACTTAATATTTGGTAAGTAGTGTCATGAACAGAATCTTTTAAGTTCACAAGAGGCATTTAGGATTTTAATTTTGTTTCTAATTCATTTGTTAGACACAGTCTAAAGATTCAAAGTACAAACATAGACAGTGGTATAATAAAACCTGTATACTTATCACTCAGCTTCAATAAGTATCAACTCATGCCAAACTTGCTTCATCATTACCTTATCCATCCTTCGTATTATTTTAAAGGAAATCCCAGATAGTATATATACAGGCATATGTATAATATATATGAAGATTTCTTTAACACACCCACAATACTTACCATTACATTCAAAAATCAAATTCACAGTGATTCCTTCATATCATTAGTGTTCCACTGTTCAAACTTTCAGACTTGCAGACTTACCTTGAGTGTCATAAATGGCTTGTTTGCGTATAGCTGCTTTATCATCTCTTTAATGTGTAATTTTCTTTTAAAATGCCATCAAGATGGGTTTTTTAATGAAGATTTTTATCATTTGATTATATCCCAGATAATTAAGCATTATCTGTAAGCCATTTACCAATTATATTCTCTTTTGAAAATAATTTGACTGCATTCTTCCCTTTAACTCTTGTAAGTGTTCCCATGCATTTTTCAGGCTCTTTTCTTTTTTAAAGCATCATGTATCTTTACTGTTTGTTTCATTTTTATAAAGCACTTTGATGACTTCCTTTGAAGTGGCGTATCTATTTTCAGGGACTTAAGTTTCAAATAACGGTTATTAGTTTGTAAGTGACAGTGTTGAGCTGCAATATCTAAAGTTTGTTCCAACTAAAAGATTGTATGATTTCTACAGTATTTAAGAAAGTAAATCATCTGTATTTTTTTTTGTTTTTCTGTAATCTCTTAAATTTTTACAATGACTATGCAGTATTGTTGTAAGGAAAAGCGTTTTTAATGTAAAGACAGACTGATATTTTTTTTATTTCTTATATCCTGTATTGCATTTTCTTTAGGAGACCTATCTCTTTAAAAATGTGATGGAAATAAAGTAGGAGTATACCAGAAAATGAACTGTATAGGGCAAGCAGTTTTGAAATTCTTGTTCTAACCTAACATCTTAATATTCATGTAGTATATCTAGAAAGCATATCTCTGTCCTGTGTAGCTTCTTGACCAAAGAGATTTGATCCTTACTTATCAAAAGCTTGAGTTAAACAACAGTAATAACTTACTTAATCCTTTCCTAAAAACTCCAGCCTATGTTGGCAGTGAGCCTTTTGCCGTGAGCAGATGCTGTGCTGTTTCAGACCATAGCATTTGGAGTATCCTTTGAATGTATGTGTGTATGCTGAATTCAAATTCTATCCCCAATAAATGTGAGGAGATAATGTTGTAAATATACTTTGATAGATTTTCCTCTAAACTTCAAAACATTTTGAAAAACTGCTATTATGTATTTCAGGCAAGTTTTGTGGCATCTGGAAATCGGACAGATATTTCCTTAGATGATCCTAATTTCTGGCAGAAATGGGCTAAAAAGGCAGAAATAGATATAGATGCCATCAGTGGCAGAGTAAGTATTTCTTTCACTTTAAAAAATTATCTGTTAGGATACTTTCTAATATTATTATAATATTTTAAGGTATTCAACTGTGTACTTATTGAAATAAATTTACTTCATAAATAAATTGATGTGGAGTATCTGAATGATCATATATTGAGTTAGACACTGCTTCAATTTAATACCTCTGGTATCTATCATGATAGGTTGTAATACAGGGAAAATTTAAGTTTGAATACTTATTTTCTTAAAATTGTAATGTGTTTTTTAATTTGTAAAATGTCTTCAAATCATCAGTTATGTTTATTTTGCTCTTTAACTTTGTTTCCTTGGAGTCCACTCCCATTAATGATGATCCAGTCAGATACAAAAGGAGAAAAACAGTCAAGAAAGTGGCAAAACTATTTCTTTTTTAACTTTACTTAGAGCTAAGAAAGGGCCAAAAAGCTAAAATACAATTTGTAGAACTAATAATAACATAACTGTTTACTTCATAAGACACCTGTCTAATTATATATAGGAATCAATGTTTGTGAATCTTATCTATTAGCAAGATAACTATTAAATGATTAAAAGAATTCTATATTAAGCATTGATGCATGGGATCTATTTTAATAGATAGTCTTTTTAATTAAAATGTAAAACTTTACAACGAGAAATAATACCACTGCCATACACAATCGTTACTATTTAATGTGTTTCAGAAATATGTGTAATTGTATGTGAAACAAATAAGTAAATTTGAAACGATATTTATAAAAACATCATTATTTACATATGGCATGTTTATATGTCTAAAAAGGCAGTGGAGGGGCACGTGGGTGGCTCAGTTGGTTGAGCATCCGACTTGGGCTTGGGTCATGATCTTGCAGTTCCGTGAGTTTGAGCCACATCGGGTTTGCTGCTGTCAGCCTGTCAGCGTAGAGCCTGCTTCAAGTCCTCTGTCCCCCTCTGTGTGCTCCTCCCACACTTGAGCTCTCTCAAAAATAAATGAGCATTTAAAAAAAATAAAAATAAAAAGGCAGTGGAATCTGGAAGCAATGGAATTTTTTACTCATTAAAAGTATAGGAGCGCCCTGATGGCTTAGTCGGTTAAGCCTCCAACTCTTGATTTCAACCCATGTCATGATCTCACAGTTCATGATATCAAATCCCATGTCTGGCTCTACACTGATAGCACGGAGCCTGCTTGGGATTCTTTCTGCCCCTCTCCTCACTCGCTCCCTCTCACTCTCTCTCTCTCTCTCTCAAATAAAATAAACATTTAAAAATAAATAAATGAGTTTAATGAATTAACTGGATAGAAGATAAATACACCACTTAGCCTTCTTAAATATTGGTACTAACAGAAGTAGAAAAATATAATGGAAGAAAACATCTATTCACAGAAGGAAAAAAAGATACAAAACACTTAGGAGTATACTTACTGACAGATATATGTGATTTAGTTAAGTAAATTATCAAATTTAATTGGGAGATTTGTCAGTTGGCAAGAAAACCACATATTTTAAGCATTTTAAGAGTTTGTAAACATAGGGACACCTGGGTGGCTTAGTCGGTTAAGTTTCCAAGTTTAGCTCAGGTCATGATCTCGTGGTTCATGGATTCGATCTCTGCATTGGGCTCTGTGCTGACAGCTCAAAGCCTGGAGCCTGCCTCGGATTCTGTGTCTCCCTCGCTTTCTGCCCCTCCCCCACTCGTGCTCTATCTCTCTGTCTCTGTTAAAAATAAATAAATGCATTTTTAAAAAATTTAAAAAAAGAGTTTATAAACATAGAAATGCAACCAAAATCAAAATGTTAACAGTTTTTTCATATAACCAGACAATATGTAAAGTTTCCCTGGAAAAATGAATTGTCAAGAATATTAAATGTTTATTTTAAATGCACTTTTAGGAACCTGTCTTACAGCAATAATCATACAGGTACAATGATAATACAGTACAGTGATGTTCATTGCCACATTTTTTTGTTTTAGAAAAAACTTACAAACTAATTAAACCTCTTACGATAGAGGATTAGTGCATGCATTACTGTCTAATGCAATGAGTAAAAATAATCATGTAGATCCCTATGTACTAGTGATATAGAAAGAGCTCCAACACAGTTAAATTTAAAATATGAGGGAGATATAGAACAGTGCCTATAGTGTGATATTTGTGAGTTTTCAAAAGTCTCTGTTGGGGATCCAGAGACACTCGTATGCATTTATGCATTCATCCAACTATGAGTCAAGTGCCATTCTCACATTAGGGACAGTGTGCCCAAGACAAAGCAACCACTGCTTTTACACAACTTATGAATTCTCGTAGGTGAGACAGAAGTAAACAAGTGCCTAAGATCGTTTCAGAGAGGGAAGAAAATGAAACAGATGGCAGAGAATGCTGGGAGGTGTAGAGACAGCATTAAGCGACGTGGTCAAGGGAGGTCACTCTCAGTTCTGCTGAGATTGAATGACCAGAAAGAGCCAATAATGTAAAGACATGAGGAAAATCTTTCAAGGTACAGGGAATGGCAGTAAGCCATTGGTGGAAATAAGCTCTGGTATTCCAGAAATAGAAATGACATGGCAGTGTAGGCAGTGAGGAGGTGATAGGCAAGGTCAGAGACCATAGATATGGGTCACATTATAGGGCCTTGTATATTATTACCCTGGGGAGTTAAGCACTTTATAAATAAACTTTTATAAGCACTTACTCATTTAATACTTGTACAGTTACATTTTCTTATTTATGCTTTGAAAAAGACATTTAAAGGTTTTCTGAAAATGAAGTACAAAGAAGGCAGACTAGCATTATTTACTATCTATTAAAACATAATGTATTATAAACATGATTAAAACAGCATGCCACTGAGAAAAAGATATAAAGAGTAAGAACAAAATAACAGAAAAAGATCAAATTGTAAGTTTTAATAAAGAAATATTAGAGAAAAAGGCATTATATAATAATCATGACTAGAATATTGAGTTAACGTTGGGGGGAACTTTATAACGATATACTCTATACCAAGTAAACTCCAGTTTGCGATAAAAAAAATTTTTTTTAATTCTTTGAAAGCATGAAAAAATGGAAAAACTAGATTTCTGTTTTATCAAATACTTGGTGGGAAAACATTCTAAATTAGAAAGAAATCACAAAGGAAATGTTTGGCATATGCAAATACATAAGACTACTTAAGTACTTTTTCCATTAAGTACTCCAAAGTACTTAATGGAAAATAAAAGGGCAGTTAGACTGGTGAGACTTATTTATAGCAGAAATTTATATGAAAGTCAATATTGTTATTATATGAAAGCTCATATAAGGTGATCAAAAATACATCAAACCTCAAAAGATTGTGGGCAGAAGACTTGAAAATTTACTCAAAAAATACAGTTAGGGTTTTTTGGTTTTTTTTGTCTTTAAAGAAGCTGGGGTGGGGCAAAAGGACAACTCTTTCTTACTGAAAAAAGGCTGATTAACAAATATAGAAGGAATAAGAGAAGAGTTCTACCATGTATTGACCACAGTAATAATTATAGCAGACAAGACCCATTGATGAATTCTAAAATTAGTGGGTAAAATTGAAGGAGAAACAGACTTTTTACATATTCTCAAAGAATATCTTCCTAACTTGGAAATATTTCATTGAAGGTAAAAAACATGTCAACTTAAGTTGTTTTGAATGAGTTAAACTGAATTAAACATGGTGAGGTTCATACACTTAATTACCTTGCTTTTTGTGTATTAATATAACTCTTTTGGAAAGGACTAAAACATGTTTTTGGATCTATAAAATATTTAAATCCTTTGACCAGTATTGGTATTTCTAGATATTTCCCTTTTTTGGATTTATCTTTAGGATAAACTTAGATTACAAATATTTATTTTAATGGGGCACCTGGGTGTCTCAGTCGGTTAAGCATCCAACTTCGGCTCAGGTCATGGTCTCACGGTCTATGAGTTTGAGCCCCGCGTCGGGCTCTGTGCTGACAGCTCGGAGCCTGGAGCCTGCTTCAGATTCTATGTCTCCCTGTCTTGCTGCCCCTCTCCCATTCATGCTCTGCCTCTCTCTGGCTCAAAACTAGGTAAACATTAAAAAAAATATTTTTTTAACAAATATTTACTTTAGCATTATTTATTTTAAAAATTGAAAACGAAGGCTCTTGGGGGGCTCAACCTGTTAAGCATTCAACTCTTGATCTCAGCCCAGGTCTTGATCTTAGGGTTGTGAGTTCAAGCCCCTCTTTGGGTTCCACACTGGGTGTGAAGCCTACTTAAAAATAAGGCGAAAAAAATTGAAAACAATCTAAACTATGAATTAGGTAAAGAAAACTAAGATACATAAATATAGTTTAAAAATATATTATGGTTATTATATAAAGCATAACACAATAACTCTCATATTAATGATAAGGCCAAATACCAAATTCTTTTCATCCTATGACTGTGATGTCACAATATTATATGTGTATGGTAATAAGCATTTTAAAGGAATATAAAAATTTTTAAGTTGATCTGGTAGGTTGATGAAATTGTTAGTAATTTTTCTGACTTTTTGTAATTATTTTATTGTTTGTACAATTTGAAAGGTGAAGATATAAAACATTGTTATAAACAAAATAGTAAAAGGACCTTTAAGTAATAGCTGTTAACAATTTTACAGAACAGCTTGGTTATTGACACTCCAAGAATTAGGAAGCAAACAAGACCCTTTAGTGCCACAAAAGATGAGTTGGCGGAATTATCTGAAGCCGAAAGTGAAGGGGATGAAAAGCCCAAACTCCGGAGACCCTGTGATCGTTCCAATGGCTATGGAAGAACTGAATGCTTTAGAGTAGAGAAAAATCTTCTAGTTTATGGGTAAAAAAAAATTTTTAATGTTTCTTGTTAATAGTCTATATAAAGTCACAGAAAACGTACACTGTATTCTAGTGTATTTTTTCATCTTGTTAGAATCAATAAAAATCTATTTTAAGTAGATTTAAAATACCCTACATTTATATGCTTAACATATATTTAATAGCAGAATGATGGAGTATCCTTAAGTTTTAAATTATAAATGTATCACTGAAGTCAAATTCCTTGTTTTTCTGAGAGTTGCATATTCAATAATATAAAATGGATAATCTTGTTATCCATTATTGAATAAGACACACTTGAAATCACTATACCATGGTTCTGCATTTTACACTCAGGGAAAAAACTTTATTAGGTAAATCCTATTCATGACAAATGTGTTTTTTGTAGTTTTCAAGCCTTTTATCCATGAGTTCTGTTTTTCTCTAGAACTTGACTAAATATTAATGTAAGTTTACCTTTTTTAACCAGATGGGGCCGATGGAGAGAGATTCTGTCTCATGGTCGTTTTAAAAGGCAGCTGAATGAGCATGATGTAGAAATAATTTGCCGAGCCCTCTTAGCTTATTGCCTTGTTCACTACCGAGGAGATGAGAAAATTAAAGGCTTCATATGGGATCTCATTACTCCAACTGAAGATGGGCAGACACGAGAGCTACAAAATCATCTGGGTAAGAACATTCTTTCTTATTACATTTATGTTTAGTTATATAGGTGGCACCATAGTACCCTATAAAGTGTTGAAGCACTGTAGAGTTAACACTAATGAATCCTTAAGCTTTACGCTCAATTCAAGTTCCAACTTAGAAAATACTAGTGTTATCAGTTTGGTTGGGTTTCACATACAGGTTTACGTGCAGTTTGGTTATTGATCCAGCATAAATCCGTTCGCAGGTTGTTGTCTCAGAAGTCTTCCCTCATCCATGTTCATATAGATCTATCTCATTTTTTTTTTTTTTAATTTTTTTTTTCAACGTTTTTTATTTATTTTTGGGACAGAGAGAGACAGAGCATGAACGGGGGAGGGGCAGAGAGAGAGGGAGACACAGAATCGGAAACAGGCTCCGGGCTCCGAGCCATCAGCCCAGAGCCTGACGCGGGGCTCGAACCCACAGACCGCGAGATCGTGACCTGGCTGAAGTCGGACGCTTAACCGACTGCGCCACCCAGGCGCCCCTAGATCTATCTCATTTTTAAAACTCCTTTTTAGTAGTTCATTGTGTTGCTATTTCATAGTTTATTTAGCATCTGCTTTTAATGATGGGCACTTAGGCCATTTCTCACTGTAGAGAATTAAAAAACAAGTTTCAGTGAAGATCCTTTTGCGTTTATCCTTGTTCATGTGAATAAACCTTTCACTAAAATAAATACCATGAAATGGAATTGTCGAAGGATAGCTTATGTACATCCTTAGTACCTAAAATGTGGTCTATGGGTTAATAGCGTCAGCGTCTCCTGAGAGCTTCTTAGAAGTACAGAATCTTGGGCCTCAGACTTACTGAATCAGAAACTGAATTTTAACAAGTTCCTTAGCAATTAGTATGTATATTAAAGTTGAGAAACACTGATATATACATTTTAAGTTTTCATAAATACTTTAATTTGCCATCAGATATGACTATACCAGTTTACAACTGTAAATTGTATATATAAGGTATATATAAGTCCCTTTTTCTCCACATCCTTTCTAATAGAACATTCTTTTCTGCATAAAGTAATTCTTTCATAGCATAAAGTAATTGATTTTTCTGTAAAGATAAAAAAGATTACTACGCCCTGAAAGTTGTGTTACAATTTTGTTCTATTTAATCAACACATACCTGTTATAGTGTCTACTGTGTGCTTCTCGTGCAAGGTAGTGGGAAGATAAGAAGAAACAAGATCCCTGAGCTCATCATGAACTTTGCATTCCGGCCAGGTAGATAGACATAATAAGAAAGGAGATAAATAATTACAGAATGTGATAAGTACTGTGAGGTAAATAAAATAACTTCTGAAATGGAGAAAACAGAAAGCACCTATTTTAGATTAGGGTGATCACTGGAGGCTGTCTTAGTTGCGGGCAATTAAATCAGTAACGTGCAGAACTGACTTCAGGTAAGGATGGAAGATGGACACAAATATAATCTCACTCTTCCTTGAAACCCCACTTACATGTCAGTGAAGAGAAAAAAAAAAATTAAGGCATTACACTTGATAAATTCTACAGACAAAAGTCCTAGTTTCTTCAACAAAGTGGGGGCAGGCAGGTAAAGAGGCTATCCAAAACCCGTGGCTCTCAGCCAGACATGATTCTGTGCCCGGTCCTGCCACCATTTAGGATTGTCACTGCTTTGAGCATGTCACTAGCATCTAGTAGGTAGAGGGCACGGGGGTATAGACAGCCCTGCACAATAAAGAACTATGCAGTTCAAAATACCAACAGTGCCGAGATTGAAAACCCTGCTGTAACCTAAAAGATTTAAGAGTCCTCAACTGCTGGTATTGTGGGGGTCTTATTTCATTCCTGGTTGAAACAAACAGCCCAGGGGATTTTTTAAAATTATCTTTTTTAGATAATAGTAAATTTGAATATCAGGTATTAAGGAAGTATTATTTGCCTTTCTTGGGGCTGATAATGGTTATTTTTTTAAAGGAGGCTTTGTCTTTCATATATATCGCTAAAAGAGCCCTACATTGAGGGTCGAGATTACTTAAGTAAATAAACTTTAAAAGGGGGATGGGTATCTGATTGGCCTAGTCAGAGGTGAGTGCAGCTCTTGTTCTTGGGATTGTGAGTTTTAGCCCCAGGTTGGTGGTAGACATGACTTAAATAAATACATTTTAAAAATTAATAAATAGGGGCGCCTGGGTGGCGCAGTCGGTTAAGCGTCCGACTTCAGCCAGGTCACGATCTCGCGGTCCGTGCATTCGAGCCCCACGTCAGGCTCTGGGCTGATGGCTCAGAGCCTGGAGCCTGTTTCCAATTCTGTGTCTCCCTTTCTCTCTGCCCCTCCCCCGTTCATGCTCTGTCTCTCTCTGTCCCAAAAATAAAAAAAATAAAAAAATAAAAAAATTAATAAATAAAAGATAGTCATATTTGTTCATGAAATGATTGGTGTCTTAGATTTACTTCAAAATAATATAGAAGAAAAAAAATAATAACATAGAAGGTTGGGGAGTGAACAGGGTATAGATGAAACAAAATTGACCATGAGCTGATAATTATTAAAGTTGGATGACAGGACATTGTGATCCTTCATATTACTCCATCTGTTTTTGACTATGCTTAATTCCATAATTAAAAAGTAAATAGGCATAAACCCTCAAAAGAAGAGAGAGAATGGGAGAGGAAATAGCAACACAGTTTTGGAACCTGGAAGCAAATAGATGAGTGGTGACTAACTCAACCAACCAGAGAGAGTTGAATCTTAGGTCAGCAGTAGGAAAAGGCAACGACCGACTGGTTTGCTGCACAGATTACCCAAAAGTTTCAGCTTGTGACATATCAGGAACCTCTAAAAGTAGGTGTAAAGGACAGAGGTTTTGACTACAAGTTGTTTAAACAGAGTTCAGATTGCTAAATATCCTCTTCAGTTCTGTGTCATCAGGATGAAAAATGACTTAAAGTTTGTTCTCTAGGGAGAGTGAAGTGGAGGGTCTCTGGGTTGCATTGGTAGTTGAGGTATGGAGCTCCTAAATGGGGACCGAATGAATGTATGTATATTGAACAATGTCATACTCAAGGAAGAAAACTAAAGAATTTTCTTTGCGGAGTCTGATCAGGGCAAAACCTAACAATATGAAGGGTAACAGCAGATTGACCTTCAATGAGTCCCGTCAGACCATCTGTGTCAACTTTTTGGTCTGTCTCAAATATGAGCAAACAACCAAGGATACCAGACACCCGAGGAAAGTTTCCAACATGAGAGGTGGAGACGAGAAACAAACCATCTAAATGAACTCGGAGGAAATAAGGACTATGCAAGGAAAAGAACTTTTTTAAACCAGCATTAATATCTTTAAAGATACTTCAAATGTACTGTGATTTTGGAGGAAGAATCAGGTGCTGTAGAAATAGTCAAGCACAACAGATCTCGTGTAAATTATAAATTAGCATGTAGCAGAAGTGAAAAAATAAATAGGATTATGTGATGAAATCTGAAGCAGTTTTGTTAAAGAGAAGTTTATATGGAATATCTACATATTTTATTAGGAAAACTTAAGTATGTATATTTTTAATTATGCACTGGTTTCCAAATCAGAGTGAGGAGGACTCTGGAATATAGAACAGTATTAACATAGAACAGAATAGCAATTTAAGGTGGAGGGCATTAATTAGAATCAAAAAGAGATACTACACAGTAATAAAATGACTGATCCATAAAAGGAGATATAACAAGTATGAACTTTATACACCAAACAAAACAGTCTCAAAATATAAAGGCAAAGTTGCCAACATTGTCAGAAGAAATGGACAGGCCACAGCATGCTTCTGTTTACCATTGTGGTAAGATTCCTGGCTGGTAGAGGACAGCAAGGAAGAGAGATACGAGGTAGAAATTGAAAGGAATCAAAACTGTTTTTTCAGTAATTGTTAAAAATTGTAAGTGAAACAACTCAAGCATCATTGAGTTTAATAGGTAGGTGGTGGTATGCAGTGATACTCAGACAATAGATTTTTAACAGCAGTTAAAATGGATAAATTACAGCCTTGTGAGTCGGCAAGTATTAAATCTCAAAAAAATACCAAAGTAATCAATAATTTGCAGAATTGCATGTGAAATACAATGTCTGTAAACTTAAATATTTCTCCGACCTATGAATACAAAGAGGCATGGAATGAAAAGACAAATTCAGGGTAGTGATTATCTCTGGGAAGGAAGGAGTGAATTGAACTTCAACTATGCGTATTCATTTCCTTTAATAAACACTGACCAAATATGGAATATGCTAAGGTTAAGAGTAGGAATATATTTTCTGTAGTTTTGTGTATTTCAGGGGCGCCTGGCTGGCTTAGTCAGTGGAGCATGTGACTCTTGATCTTAGGGTTGTAAGTTTGAGCCCTACGTTTGGTGTAGAGATTACTTTAAAATAGTAAAAGAAAAAGAAATATTTCACAACAAAAGTATCACGTAAAATGAATATAGCTCTCTTAAACAGGAATCCACAATGACTAAACCTAATGCAGTTTTGAAAATCAAGAGGCCAAAACTTATTTTGTAACTAGAGAAACTAAAAGCAAAGCAGAGGTACAGGTTTTAGCTTTTGGTTTTTACATTTGGAAAACAAATAATGTGTTTTAGAACAAAATGGAAATCACAGTGATTAATTTCAGATACAAAATTATTGGGTGTTTGCGGGGAACTGTTAATATGTGTGTATAATCATCATGTTAACTTACCTTGCTATTGGGTCAGTATTGTTACCATTAATATTTTTTTTTTTAAACATTTTTTTTTTTTTTTTGAGAGACAGAGAGAGACAAAGCGTGAGCAGGGGAGGGGCAGAGAGAGAAGGAGACATAGAATCTGAAGCAGGTTCCAGGCTCTGAGCTGTCAGCACAGAGCCCGACACGGGGCTCGAACCCACAAACCATGAAATCATGACCTGAGCTGAAGTCGGAGGCTTAACCAACTGAGCCACCCAGGCGCCCCATGTTACCATTAATATTTTAAAGATCTCTATACAGCCTGCACAGACCTCTGAAAGTCTCCAGAAATTTCTTGTGTTGAAAAAATGTGCCAAATTGCAAATCTTTCTACAGATTATCCCTGATATCACGTGTCCTTCTCGTTTTAACAGGCCTGTCAGCCCCAGTACCCAGGGGTCGAAAAGGGAAGAAAGTAAAGACTCAAACAAGCTCATTTGATATACAGAAAGCAGAATGGCTTCGAAAATATAATCCTGAGCAGCTACTTCAAGATGAAGGATACAAAAAACATATAAAACACCACTGTAATAAGTAGGTAGTAGGGTATTTTTAACACAACTCTTTAGAAGTTTATATTGCTGAATTTATTAAAAATCTTAAAGCATGCTGATTTTGAGTACAGAGACAGTGTGGTCTAGGACCAATCCTAATCTTAATCTTACAGGGTATCCATCAGCAAATCATGGTATACCTCTTGTGTCACTGTTTTCATCAACAGAGAGAGAAATAAAACTGGCCATAATCTCATTATATCTTACTTGGATATTAAATAATGATGATTGTGAAGATTTTGGAGAAACCTATTTTATATATATGGTAGTAATGAGATTTATTTAATCAGAAGTAATTATTTAATTACAAAAATTCTGTATACAAATTCTTTTCCAATTTTAACCTCATGGATGAATTTTCTTTAATGATTAATATCTTTGTGTCTTTTGATTGCCTTTCCCTCATTTTAGGGTTTTGCTTCGTGTAAGAATGCTGTATTATCTAAAGCAAGAAGTCATTGGAAATGAGTGTCAGAAAGTATTTGATGGAGTTGATGCAAGGTAAATTAATTAAATAACCTGTTGATATTTTCAGTAATGTACTGAAAATAGCAAAAATTCTATGACCAGAAAACTGTCTATCAAAGTGGCTGCTTACTCAGTGAAGTTCACAGGAAGAAAATTCTACCAAATTTACAGAATTCACTCTTGCCAGTTTGTTGCCTTTCCTCTGTTAGTCTCAGTCTGGCTCTTTCACTAATAGCAGTATCAGTCATCATCATCATCATCACCATCGTCATCTGGCTCTGTCACAACAACAGCAGCAGCAAATCTAAAACTAAATCTAAAACTGAACCTTCCCTGTGTTCATTCTTTTCTTCTTCCCTCCTAACCCAGTGGAAGAATGGTGACTGACTTTTATCCACATATGATCTGTCCGACACCCTGGTCTCTTTGTTCCTTATTCTACTTCTCTCTTCTTCCTGAAATGCTATCTTCTTTAATTTTTTTGTAATACTGTCTTCTGTAGGCACTCATGCAACTATACCCATCCGGTTGTCCTTTTTCCTCAGCGCTCTGTCCCTCACCCACAATGCTGCAGCCACACTGGTGTTTCTGTTTCTCCAGCACGTCAGGCTCATTCTGTGCTGTGCCTCCTGGTACACTCTTACACCTCAGCTTCCCCAGAACTGTCTCTTCAGGTCATTCAGGCCTCTATTCAGCTTCTACCTCCTCAGATAGGCCTTCCCTGGCCTCCTTAGCTAAAGCAAGCCTAGCAGTCACTCGCTACTACGTAACCTTACTTTATCTCATTCATAATGCCTATGAAATGCTTATTAGAGTCATGTTTGTCTGTCTTTCTCTTCCCACTACAGTTTAAGCTGCTTGAAGGTTAAACATGCTATCTGTCGTATTGATCATTTTTTCACAGCCCCTAGAATCTGGGACATAATAACACCCAATACATATTTGTTGACCAAGTGACCCCTCTTTTCCCTTGGCCTCCACTTGTGGAGAAACTATGATCTGTGAATTATCCCTACATTTCCTCTTTCATTAATCTCCCCCTGGCCCCCAACTTCTCATTTGGATTTTAACATATTTGCATCTCTCTCAGCATAGATCCAGACACAGACACACACACACACACACGCACGCGCACGCGCACACACACACACACACACACACACACACACACACACACACACAGTGCTTTTGGACCTGTGTCTCCTCACGCTACTGTATTATCACTCCTTGATTTCTGTGTCTGTGTCTCCTTTTTCTACTCTGCCATTTCCTACGCACTCCCCCACAGCTCAGCTTCCACCCCCTGTCTTCTGCCTGCCCACTCGTCCACCAGTAAGCTTGCTGCTGAACACACGGAGGAACCCTACTGCTTATCTGACTTCACCTTTGTTCGCCACTGCCTCCTTAAAATGTGTCTGTAGCAGCATTCACCTGGACGTGTTCTTTCTAGCTTCTTTCTGCTTATTGTTCTGCAGGCTCCTCTTCACCCTCTTAAATGTCTTCTCATAGGCCCTCTTGTTGTCACCTCCTTTTCTTGGATGCTGTCTCTTTCTGTGGTGTCAGGTGTTTTTTTAATTTTTTTTTAAGTTTTATTTATTTAAGTAATCTGTATGTCCCATGTGTGGCTCAAACTCACGACCCCAAGATCAAGAGTCGCCCACTCTTGCAACTGCCCCATCAGGTGCCCCATCAGTTTTTGTTTTTATACTAAGGGTCTTCCAGATCTGTCTCCAGTTCACATCTCTCTTGAACTTCAGGGACACATTTCTCACAGGTGCCATGATTACCAACGCCTCCAGGCTTTTGCACTCTTGCTGGAACATTCCCTTTCCCCCTTTCCTCCATTCTCCGGGCTCTTCCTGCTCAGCTGACATCAACTCAGCCTCCAGGTCAGGCACGTACCCAGAGAACCCTGTCACACCATTCACCATGCAGTAGTGCAGGTACCTCTTCATGAGGGCAGGGAGTGTCTGCCTTATTATTGCTATTATTGGCACTTAATGAGTGCTGTTTAAATATATTTTGAATGAGTGATCTGGCCTGGGGAAGTTAAAGACAGTTTTATGCAAGAGACAGCATGTGAACTGAATCTTTAAAAACAGAAATCAACAACAGGAGCACATGCACCTCATTATGGTCCTTTCCCTAGCAGTTAAACACTTCACATGCAATCAAACACAGGGCACTTACACTTACAATCAAACACAGGGCAGGTATATGCTCTTTACAAGTAGGAAATCTTTCTACCGCTGATGCTTATCACAGTGTTCTGAGCTTACAGTGCCACCTGATGGTTGGTGAGGGGAACTACCTGACCCTCTTAAATTCTTTCCTCTTGCCTTCATCTTTTGGTTCTCACACTTTTTAGTCCTTGTCAGGAAATCAATCAAAAATAAATATCTTCTGTAACTGTATTTTTCCTCATCATTTTTTCAACTTTGACCAAATCACGGGAAAATCATTCTTTCTCTATTTTTCTTCATTAAGCTAGAAAATACTGTGATTGCAGCCCTTCTGGGTTTTTTTTAAAGAAGATTAGAGGTAATAATGTTACTTAAGTGCAGATAATTTCCTTTAAGAATCTAGAGAAAGGTCTACATCCTTTTCTCCATATTCCTTGGGTTAAAACTTTTTTCTGCTGGCAAAAGATTTATGAAAAATAAAAAGTAATTTCCTATCCACTTTTCATGGTTTTTAAAAAATGTTTATTTTTGAGAGAGAGAGCCAGAGCATGAGGCGGGAGGGGCAAAAAGAGAGGGGGATAGAGGATCCAAAGTGGGCTCTGTGCTGACAGCAGATAGCCCGACGCAGGGCTCAAACTCACAAACTGTGAGATCATGTTCTGAACCAAAGTCAGACACTTAGTGACTGAACCACCCAAGCACCCCAGAAAATGGCAAGTTTTTGATTCATAATTTGATTAAAACATTCAAAGTGCTATTTGTATGCTATATATAACTATCATGCCTAAAAAATGACAATATAATAAAGGACTAAAAACTATAATAAATCCGTTCCGTGAATGCTGTGGTAATATGGCTGTTTTCAGGAGTATGAAACAACTACTAAAGAGCATTTTTAATTTTGCAAACATAATTTCCTTTGCTTATCATGTGAAATTACTACTCTCCCAGAAACCTTTTATAAGTAACACATACAACACCACTAAAAAGGAAAATTGGCCATACATGGAAGGATTGAAATGTTTACTTCTTTACCATAGCGATTCAAGCCATTGTCTCCCTTAGCCTAACATACAACTTATGTCTGACAGGAATTAGCAAATAAATGTCATTAATTTTCACACACAAACATCATTCTTGTATTTTATTCAACAAAGAAGATGGAGTTGGATAGGATAAATTATTTCAGGAAATCAAATAATTCTAGTTGAGAATTTCTCTGTTTGACATTCGTGATTTACCAGTTTTCAAAGAATCAGAGATATGATAAAACATAATGAAAATGAAGTAGAATTTCATCTTGTCTCAGCACCAAAATTTCATAAGTTAATTAACAAAGACCTATATGGATATATTTGAAAAAGTGAGGAGTTTCCTACTTACAATTAAGTTGTGTAGCCCAAGGTCATTTGTAAGTTGGTTGTCTTTGGACACTCAAAATAACTTTTTCATATAGAAATAAATTGATAGGGGCTTCTGAGTGGTTCAGTTGGTTAAGTGTCCGACTCTTGATTTTGGCTCAGGTCATGATCTCACAGTTTATGAGATCAAGCCCTGTGTCAGGCTGTGTGCTGACAGCATTGAGCCTGCTTGGGATTCTCTCTCTGCCCCTCTCCTGCTTTCTCTCTCTCTCTCTCTCTCCCCCAAAATAGATAAATAAACTTAAAAAAGAAAGAAAGAAAGAAAGAAAGAAAGAAAGAAAGAAAGAAAGAAAGAAAGAAAAACTGATAAATGGTCAATATGTTCCCGGGCTAGTTCACAAGAACCCAATATTTAACCACTAATATAGTGGAAATAAAGGACAATGGCCATGAAAACAAAAGGCTTCTAAGTCTTATGAGTAAATAAAACATGAAAATGGGGGCACCTGGATGACTCAGTTGGTTAAGCATCTGACTCTTAATTTAGTCTCAGGTCATGATCTTGCAGTTCTTGGATTTGAGCCCCACATTGGGCTCTGAACTGCCAGCATGGAGCCTGCTTGGGATTCTCTCTCTCTCTTTCCTTTTGCCCCTCCTCTCTCTCTCTTTCAAAATAAATAAATACTTAAAAAGGAAAAAAAAACAACTTTCCATTTTCCTTTACTTGTAAGCAATGCTTAATTTTTCAGTGGGATTTTCTTACCAATAGCAGTCTAGAAGAGATATGACTTGTTTTGCAGCCCAAAGCAATTAATTTGCCCTTCTAGGGCCTCAGTTTGCTGGTGTACAAAATGATATACTTGAGCCAGCTGATTTTTGTCAGGCTGTTTGCTGACATAAGATTCTACTTTCCCATAAAACATTTTGTCTGTATCTAAAGGAAACCAGTGGAAAGAATATGCTTCGTTAAGAGTAAAGTAAACCTGTTAGAACATTTCTTCTGTTGAGTTTAGGAATATTAATTCATTTTATGCTAACTTTGTTTATGTTGTGCAATTTTGTAATTTTTATCGGTGGCAATTATGGAAAACAAAAAGATCAATGAAATGAAATCTTAACATCTTTTTCTTAAAAACCATAATGCTGTTTACAAACTAGGTAAAATTTTGCCTCCTCTTTAACTTGTTTGTAATCATTCATAGTGCCATATCGTGATTTCTTTTTTAAAGTGACATTGATGTTTGGGTCCCAGAACCAGACCACTCAGAAGTTCCTGCTGAATGGTGGGATTTTGACGCTGATAAGTCCCTTCTTATCGGAGTTTTTAAACATGGTAAGTGAGAAGTAAGGTAGGTAGAGTCGTCTTCTGTGTATACTATAATTCAACTAGTTCTCAGTTTGATGATTTCCACCTACAGCTTTATTCCAGAAACACTCATATTATTATCAGTATCAGGTACAGCATACACCACCAAATTATGTCTGTCAGTCACTACACTTCTTCATGAAAGGGTGGCAGAAGTCTCACATAACTTCCCCTCAGGAAGAGTTCTTAGGTCAAGTGTGTTCTGTTTGATCGGTTTTCCTCTTTTTCAATTTAACTGATAAACTTAATCTAAATTTTTAAATATACACATGCCAGATCATGTAATTTGTGATAATTTCTGGAAAACATGCTTAATGTATATCATTTTAACATATGGTCCGTTTAGTCCAGGAACATTATCTACCATAAATGTGTGGAATGCTTATATTTATACATCTTTTTTCTTTTTATCCTTTTTACTTTCACAATTGGTGATCTCTCCAGGTTATGAAAAATATAACACTATCCGAGCAGACCCAGCATTATGCTTCTTGGAAAGAGTGGGAAAACCTGATGAGAAAGCAGTTGCTGCAGAACAGAGAGCAAATGATTATATGGATGGGTATGTGCACTTCAGGGTCTTGATTTCTCCATGTATCTCTATCAACATCACATATTCTGTCAGTGATGTTTATCTTTAAGTAATGCAGTGGTAAGAGAATTGGAGTTTACAATCGGAAAGAACTAATGATACTCATCTGATAAGTTACTGCTTATCCAACAGTATGATCAAGGAAGAGGCTGGACCTGCCCCATACCCATTCTTGTGATGAGTCCTTCATTTTTCCATTCTTAATGGTCATGGCCATTAAGGCCATAAAATTCTGAGGGCATAAGAGGAAAGAAGACAGCTAAGAATATTACAGTTGAAGAGAAATATGATGTTGTTCATTGTAACAAGTAAGGGCCTTTACCATCTTTGTTTTCTTACCAAAAGAGAAAAGTAAGAGACTATGTTGAGGTTAATATTACCACATTTAAAAGTGAACTTGGTACTAAGAGTCCGTTAGAGGTAGCTTTCTTCTGACTTGCCATAGAACCACCTTCATGCTGTGGCTTCGAGTCCTCAGGCTAAAGAACAGAAATTTCAGTCTGAAAACACACTAAGAGGTCCTTGCAACAAGACTCCCATTTGTCCTGTCAAGAGAAGTTTTAAGTCCAGTACAGTAATTGTGGCATCTGTTGGTATTTTAACAGGGATGTGGAAGATCCAGAATACAAACCTGCCCCAGCTATCTTTAAAGATGATATGGAGGTATGCTTTGGATCCTATTTTAAAATCCTCAATTCTAGTCACTCCATGGTTTCTTTTGTTTGCTGTTTCTTTTGTGTGTTTTTCTTTCATGTTTTCCTTATACCTAATTCTGTTCTTCAGAAGAGCAGCTAAGTTAGTGATCCACTTAGGTTGACAGACATCACAAATAATCATTCAGAATTTGCCTGATCTCCCTTCTAGACAAGCCGGAGGCTGGCGTGGACGTGTGGATGAAGTGGAGCTTGCCCACATGCTGCAGTGCTAGGAACTAAGAAGCACAGTGTTGGGGCAAAAATCCCAAAGCAGAGAGTGACAAGTAGATACTACAAGTACACGGCAACAGATAGAAACTATACCCACATAAAGGGTTTAAAGTAGAAGGTAGAGAGGAGAGGAATTCTGAGCTGTGAAAACATAGTTCTATGTGTTCTGTTTCTAGAAAGTCAAAAGGAAGAAGCAGAGTTGGTGAAAATACAGAAAATAGTCTGTGGAGTGGGGGAAGTGATGTTAAAAAGGATGAGGAATTCTGTAGTACTTAACAAGGGCATGGTAAAGGACTAGATGGTGTGGTAACTGTCAAGTAAGGTGTGTTGGTCTTTGTGGCCAAGGGGCTTGGATATTGATGGCTGTATGAGGACAAGTGAGAGTGAGGGCCAGAGTGTGGCAGTGAGAATGGAAATCCTATACTGAATGAAAACCCTCAGAGGAAAGCACTCTCTGACAAACAGCACCAAGAAACAGCGTGGGCTCTGGGTAGGGAAAAAAATTGTTTCCCCTGAGAATTCATTAGCCATAGGCCTGCTTTCTCTTGAGTTTATGGTTTGATTTCTTTTACATCACCTGCATGGTCCAGGAACTCTCGAGCCAAAAATGTGACATAAAAGGATCCCAAGCTGGTAATACCCCTGAGGTACCTAGTAGAAACATAAAGAAAAAGAATTATGGAAAAAGAACAGCTTCAGTGTAGACTATACTTGGTCCTGAAGATAAAACCCTCTGTGAAATGAGGTCAAAATCCAAAAATTTTAAAAATATGAGGAACAATTTACCGGGAGTAAATGTTAGCAAATACAACAAAGAACAGGATTAGACCTCTAAGAACTTCTGATATAGATCTATTAAAATAGAAAATAAGTAATTTTTAAATGGTTAAAGACATTAAAGAAAGATCCAAGAACAAAAGAAAGATGGATCTGATTTTAAAAGAGTAGGGACATATGGAAAAAGAATTATGTAAAACTTTAGAAGTGGAAAATACAGTCATTAGAAGTTAAAACTTAACAAATAGGTTAAACATTGTGCTGGAGAGGCAGATTAGACCCAGATCTTGAGAGAAGACATTATTTAGAAAATAGATATGAGGAAAGGATCCACAGTGTAGCACGATGGCTCAGTTTAGCCCAATCAGGAGAGAGAGACCACATAGCAATTTGAACAGGGAAGGTTTGTAGAATGATTGACTATAATCGGTGGATTAAAGTGATGAGAGATTGGCTGATAAGAAGTAAAGAGAATGCTGAAGAATGGAGGAGTGGGTACTCTTCTGAGGGCTGATGCAGAGCACCTAAGGAAGAGCCCCGTGTCCAGCAGGGCTGAGATCCTCACTTTTTTGGGAGGGCGTGGCCACACCTCATTGGTGGCGAAACTTGCTGGAAATCCACCCTCTGGAACTTGCCGAAGTCTACCCTCCAGGGTTGCCAAGGGACCTTTTCCTGGGGAAGTGTCTCACTGGAGGCACTTCACTAGACAACCACCCAAGGGCGAGGTCACCAAGGAAAGCCGCTAGCCAATAGGCACTTAAAGAAGCTGCTTGAACTGCAGAGGTGAGCACGGGAGGAGATCACCCAAACCAAAGAAGAAAAACCCTTTTCCTCATACTGTGTCTCTGGCTGCCACTACTGACAAAGCTTGACATCATACTGGCTGGTGAAACACAGTATTTAAAGAGGCCAGATCCATTTTCTTAGGGCCCGTAAAAGGTATGACAGGTAATGAATTTAGGGCTGAGAGGCAATAAATCAATACGAAAAACTCTTTTAGAGACAAGGAGGATAGCATGATGATGTCTGGTTGGTATATGTCCAATAGGTATTCCAGAGGGAGTGGCCAGAGAGCATAAAGGAGAAGACCTGTTTTAAGAGAGATACCAGCTGAGAATTTTTCAGACTTAATGAAAGACATGAATCCTGAGATTCAAGAAATAAAGTGAATCTTGGCAGGATAAAAAAAATTAAGTCCACTCTAAAAAAACATCCTAGTGAAATTACAGATGTTCCGAACAAAGAGAATATGTTAAAAGCAACCAGAGTTAAAAGACCCACTTGAAAAGGAATGACAGTAGTTCTAATTTCAGTCTTTTCTAAAATAACAATAGAAAATAGTAGTCATTGGTAGCACCTGACTGGCTCAATTGGAAGAGCACACAACTCTTCATCTTAGGGTTGTGTGTTCGAGTGCCACATTGAGTGTAGAGATGACGTAAATAAGTAAGTAAACAAACTTTAAAAAGATAACAATTGGGGTGCCTGGATGGCTCAGTTGGTTAAGCCTCCGACTCTTGATCTCAGTTCAGATCGTGATCTTATAATTCATGAGATCAAGACCCACGTTGGGCTCTGTACTAACAGCACAGAGTCTGTTTCAGATTCTATCTCTCTCCCTCTCTGTCTCTCTCCCCCCCACCCCTCTCAAAAAATAAATAAACAATAAATTAAAATAAACTTAAAAAAATAGTAGTCATTGGAATAAAACCACCAAAGTTATGAATATGTTTACAGTAATGTTGGAATACCTAATTGGAGCTGCTCTTTTGACAGATAAAGATTAGATATATACCACAAGCAAACTGTTCAAGGCTGAAAGAAAAAAGATTTGCTGGCTGTCTAATAATCAGATATGAGAATGAATAAATTATGGAAGTTGGTATATAGAATGAAAAAAAAAACTGTTAGCAAGAAAGCCTGGGGCATATTTGCAGGTAGAGGAAGGGTGGGGGGAAAGTAACTGGACCAAAAGTGATCACGGAAGAGGAAAATTGTAGTGCAAAATAATTGGTCTGAAGTGTAAAAGGCAACAGAGAAGTTGTAAATGGGTGGGAATTTAGAACAAGAAATTAAAATTTTTAATTTTGATAAATTAATCATTAAAAACTCTATTACAAAAAGTTCTCTACTACTATATTAAGAAACCTGATTCTCTTTTCTTCTTCAGTGTATCTTGACCCAATTACCCTGTGACAAATTTCTGTTTTCTTTTAAAAGGATGATGTTTCTTCACCAGGAGATCTTGTTATAGCAGATGGAGGTACATTGCATTTATCTCTTTATTTAGTATTATTGAAAATTCACATTCTCATGATACCATGAAATCAATAAACTGTTCCACTTTTGTGATGTTTGATGCATATGAAATTTTTATTGAAGACAGTTGTAATCATTATAAGACATACTAGTTGATTGGAAATGTAACAGTATTTTTAGTTACAAATAGTTACACAGTGACTCACTAAGCTTTTACGGAATCAAAGCTTTGATGATTTTATGGTTACATTATTAAATTTGCGTATGGGATTTCATCATTAAAGTGTTAATTCAGTAACCCATCCAACAACTTATTAGTTCCATATGCACCTTAGTGTCCATTCTTTCTCACACCCCTTTTCTACAAAGCCTTCCTTTGCAGGGTCTTCCTTCTACTTCCTTCTGTTTATCAAGATAGAAACATACTGTTAGAGTACACTCACTCCCACCTGGCACCCAAGTGGAGTCGGGCCTCATCTTTTCATAGTTTGACTAGGGAAGAAGGAATAGCATTGGCTTAGCATGAATGATTACTGCTTAATTATGGTGTATGTAATTAGAAGATTATTCCCTGGAAACAGAGAGCTAGGTCCTGCACTTTATTAGGTGAATAAGAGCATAAAAGTGACAGCATTGTTATAGGGAGTTTTTTATAATATATGTTCCTCACCAATGGCCTTTAAAATGTTTTGATTCTCACATAAATTGAGATAGATTTAATACAGAAGAAGGCATTACTTAAAAGTGTCTACAGTATTCAACTTCCCAAAGATTTCAGTTTGATTTTTAATTCATTTAAATTAAGGCAAGTGAGTATTTGCCAGGCAGTAAAACGTATTAGGCCTGGAAATGCAAGAGTTGTATTTTCTGTGCAAGCGAAGTTCAATAGATAATATTGTGGTTCTTTATTCCACTGTAACCTACTTTCTTTGAGCTGCTGTAAAAATTTGTTGTAATGTTTTTACAGCTGTAGTTAAAAGAAAACTTTTTTATAATGAGAGGTTTGGTTTGTGTGGGTTTTTTCCCCCACATAATCAGATTGAAAGAAAAAATATTTTAAGTAAGGAAATTTTGCTCTTTTTGTGAGTTTCATTTCATCATCTGTTTAGTTTGGTGGGAGGGGGGAGGGTCAAAATTGTTTTCATTTTTTAGGTTTTTTTTTTTTTATTGATATGAGTTTCTTTAAATACAGATGGTCAGCTGATGGAGGGTGATAAAATTTATTGGCCAACTCAATCAGCTTTAACCACACGTTTGAGGCGTCTCATCACTGCATATCAGCGTACTAATAAAAACAGACAAATCCAACAGATACAGCCCACGTTCTCAGTGCCTGCCAGTGTCATGCAGCCTCTTTATGAAGAAGCCACTCTTAATCCTAAAATGGCAGCCAAGATAGAAAGACAGCAGAGGTAAGACAGTAGCACTAAATTTTTAATGTTAGTATCTAAATGTAGTTTTTCATTCCGAAGCCTCTTAGAGTGTGATTATCTCACTTTGTGAAAAACATATAGGTAGAGAAGTTGGTCAAAGCAAAGTGCTTTTATGCATGCACACAAATATATCAAACAGATAAAGATCATTGCATTTTATCGTTCCTTGCACTCTTCGTATTTAATCATTATTCTGTTATTTATGAATACTGAGGTATTAAAAAAATGAAATTGCAGAGCAAACTCAAGAATTAAATTCTTAATAAAGCATACATTGAAGTTACGTGAAATAAAGTCCATTCTACCTTACTTTATATTGACATTTATGAAATGTAAGAATGTATGGAAGACAAGTCCTTATCTGTTTTATACAGAGGATGAACCCTTGCAACCACTCATATCAAAGGAGAAAAAAATAGTATACCTTTCTGCAAAAGTCCTTGTTAAGAAGACAGTCATGCTACTCTCCTCCCAAAAGCTTTAACTTCTTAAAGAGGATAGACTACACTGAAAAGAATAGCAATGTTTAGCAATAGCCTGGCCTCCTTGTTAAACCTGGATCCTTGGATGTTCTCTGGAAAATATATCTTTGTTCTTTGGTATTTATTTGCAGCACATCCATCATAACCAGAGTTTAATTCATCTGAAACAAGATTTTCAATGTTCTAGATCTCTGTAAATACACTGTTTCAGTTACCTACAATTGCATTTTAACCCACCCCAAAATGTGGTGACTGAAACACCAGTTTTTTTTTTTTATTTCCCATGATTCTCTTGGTTGACCAGGTGGTTCTTCTGCTTCCCGTTTTTTTGGCCAGCAGGTAGGAAGTGGCCTCACTCAAACAGCTGGCAGTTGGTGCTGGGCTGCCAGCTGGGAGCTTGAATGAGGGAGCATTCCCAGTGACAAAGGCAATAAAAGCTGGAGATTTCTTAAGGCCTAGTCTCAGCAATTATAAAGCATCACTTCTGCCACTTTCTATGGGTCAAAAAAAGTCACAGGGCCAATGAAGTTTGAAAGAAAAGGGAAAGAGAGTATACCTGTCCACGGGAAGAGCGGCAAAGAATTTATGGCCATCTTTAACCACATACATTTTCCCTTGGTCTGTCAGATCTCGATCAATCTTCCTAAAATACTAGTTTTCTCATGATATTCAATGGCTCCTTATTTACTGTAGGTATAAAGTTTAAGTTCTTAAGCCTCAGTCCAAGAGTCTCTTCAATTTAGATGTCAGCATGCATTTCTAATTCTATCCAGTACTATTTCCTCTGACATAATATCCTACGTATTCTTGACTCAGTACCCTAGCTTATGTTGTTCCTATCACCTGGGATACCTTTCTTCCTCCTCTTTAGTCCTTACGTAGCCCATCCTTCAGAGCCCAACACCTGTCCTATCTCTTATATTAATTTTTTCTCAAACAGGCCAGCTCACAGTATTCTGTTTCCTGTACTCATATAGCACTTATCCAAATAAATTACTCATTATCACACTAATACAAGATGTTATAAGGACGTTTTTCCTTTCCCTGTCTTGTCTTCCTAAGTTGTAAGTTCTTTGAGGGTAGACACTGTGTCATATTTTTGTGTGTTCTGTGTAGTCTTTTAACTCATCCTTTCTATTCTATTCCTACTTCCATCACTCAGGTGTAAGCTTTATAAGAATTAATTGGTCTCCCAGGCTATTTTTGCAGCATTATTACGTGAATCTTCTTAATGAAGCACTATGATAAAAATGGCCTGTTGATGTTTTTCAAACGTCTCATACACTCTTTCTCATTCTCACAATTCTCTAAGTTAACCAGGGAAAAGTGTCTATAAGTTAGACTGGAGATTTGTGGTATGTGAGGGTAATATTACCCTCTTAAAATATCTTTAGGAGCTTTCAACTGAATAGAGACTATTTTTAGCCAGGTATGGAGTGTTTCATAATCAGACCCCATTTCTGCCTCCAATATGAGCCATATCCTTGTCAAACTGGAATGCTCATCATCTCCCCCAAATGTAGATTACTTCCTACTTTGCTTATACTGTGTCTGCTTCCTAGAATTCCCTACCTGATCTTAGCCTTGTTCCATGTTAAAAGCCACTTACTTCTGTGATGCTTTCTTGATCACTCAGGTCTGAACTGGACCTCCCATCTTCTGCACTCTCCTAAAATCCTTGCTTCCTAGAATGCATACAACTACAACATACCACCTTACACTAGGGATATGTTTGAAATGTTTCACTGTTTCCTTAAAGGTAGGGTCATCATGTCTTACGTAATCTTGTATCCCCTGCATCTTTTCTTACGTACTAGATGTGCAAAAAACTATTACTTTCTGAAGGAAGAGAAGCATGGTTGGACAGATGAGTCAACCAGCATATATTTGCAAGGCAGTACCCTTGCATTTAATCCTTTAAAGTGTTAGGTATTTGAAATGTTTTAAATTTTATTATAGTGATTATATTCAGCATTAATATTTATTTTAATGACCAGTGTGGCTCTTTCTTTAATCTGACTCAAAATAGATGGACAAGAAGAGAAGAAGCTGACTTTTATAGAGTTGTGTCCACATTTGGAGTGGTATTTGATCCTGACAGAGGCCAATTTGACTGGACAAAATTTAGAGCTATGGCTAGGCTGCATAAGAAAACTGATGATAGTTTGGAGAAGTATTTGTATGCATTCATGTCTATGTGTCGGAGGGTTTGTCGTCTTCCTTCCAAAGAAGGTAGGTATAAAACTTATTTTTTTCCTGGTTTTGGTCAAAGAGGCAAAAATCCCTAAAATTCTGAAATTTCCAACTTTTTTTATGTCAATGCTGTCTAATTCAACACATCAGTTATTTTTCAAAATTGTAAATTAACTATGTTCAGAGATTCCCCCTATTTGTTAATTCTGCTATTAAAATTAGATCAAAAGAGAATAAAGTTGCACCTTGAGTTTTGAGGAATAGCCAGTGCTTATTCAATATTAGATTGATGATCGGGGGGAGGTAGAAGATAAATAGTAGCTTCAGATAAACAGAACTAACCTGTAGTTTTAGTCCATCTCATAGGAACTGTTTTACAGGGTTTATTCAGTGAATAATTTTGCAAGGAATGAGGCCTCCTCTCTAAAAACATTTCAAAGAGTTTTAGTAGGGGGAAAAAAAATCACCCAGAGCCTTCAAAAAAAGAGAACAACAACCAATCAGAGGTGCTAATGCTCAGCCAAGGCACTGGCAAGACAGATTCACCCAGGAGAGTGACTTTCATCGTCTTTGAAGCCCAGAGAAATCGCTTATCCTGTCAGCAATTCCTCTCAATCATGCTATTATAAGCAGCTATCTCCATTCTTTGTTGAATATGATTTCTGACTGCTAAACCCAGTGACTTCCTAATCCTATTTTGTAGTCAAAATATAAATGGCTAATAAAAGGACGTAAATTTCATGTAGGTTGGTTGGTTTGTTTTAATTTTATGTCCTAACAGATCTGTTGTCAGTCTACTGAATAGAGTAGCCCATCACTTGATTACCCAAATACCAGATAATCCAGAGTAGTCTACTTAAAGGTCTTTTGAGAGACTATCCATGGGTTTAAAGAGATAAAGCAAAGTATTGTGTCTTCTATTATTCATGATTACTGAGAGGCCCTCATTTCTTTTTTTTTTTAATTTTCTTAATTCCTGAACGATATAAAATGTGATGAATAAATTAACCACTTTGACTCCAGTTTTTAAAAAGAAAGGGTTAATTACTGACAATCAATAATGATCGAAAAGGTACTTTTCTTGTTAGAAATGTGAGTGAGGTTTTACTTAGATCAGTTTTCCAAACTTCCTCAGCTCATAGATCCCTTACTGTCTCAGTAATTTTTCACAGCACCTGAGGCCAGAAGTTCTGTTTAATGAATAATTAGATCCAAACAACTTAAGTATTTGTTTCCAACAATCTAGTAATTGTTTGAAAACATAATAGAAGTTGAAAGAAAAAAAATACTACTTTTCTTTCTTAAATAACCGCAGTTACTTACTAATGAGATGTATACACCTGTCAGGGACTATACAACTGTCACATCCTGGAGGTAGAATGGATATGCCCACTCTTGTTTCCTGTTCTACATTGATGTCTGCATGGTCTTTTTTTTTTTTTTTTTTTTAACTTTTTATTCTGAACTACTTTTAGACTTTGAAAAAAGTTGCAAAAAACCACAGAAGTTTCCATGCATCTCTCACTTTGCCTCCCCTAATGTTAAAATCTTACATGACTAATTACAGTATAATTATCAGACTAGGAAACTTAACAGTACAATGCTGTTAACTAAATTGAATGCCTCGGGGCGCCTGGGTGGCGCAGTCGGTTAAGCGTCTGACTTCAGCCAGGTCACGATCTCGCGGTCCGTGAGTTCGAGCCCCGCATCGGGCTCTGGGCTGATGGCTCAGAGCCTGGAGCCTGCTTCCCATTCTGTGTCTCCCTCTCTCTCTGCCCCTTCCCCGTTCATGCTCTGTCTCTCTCTGTCCCAAAAATAAATAAAAAAAATAAAATAAAATAAATTGAATGCCTAGTCAGATCTTACTGGTTTGTCCACTGATGTCCTTTTTTGTTCCAGGATCCCACATTGTATTTAGTTGGTCTTTCCCCTTAGCTTCCTACAGTCTGTAACAGACCCTCAGTTTCTCTCTTGTCTTTCGTGACCTGATTGCATTGAGGTTATGCATTTTTGTCAAGAGTACAGAGAAATGATGTGTCCCTCTCAGAACATATCAATGGGTTCATGATGTCAAGATAGCTAACACTGATGGTATTGCCCTTGATTGCTTGGTTACAGTAGTTTATGCCATGTTTCTCCAGTGTAAAATTGATATCCTTTCCCCTGCAGTTAACAGATATCTTGAGGAGATACTTTGAGACCACACAAATCCTGTTTCTCCTCAAACTTCCACCCATTGGCATTAGTATCCATGAGTAGATCCTTATGTGTAACAGCTTTTAATGTGGAATTCTGCTACAAGCAAGAACTGTTGTTTCCGTTTCATCTGTTGATCTAGATATTTATTTTACTCTATAGGTTAGAACCCAATACTCTCATTATTTTGATACTCAAATTGTTCTAGATTTGGCCACTACCAGCTCCTTTAAGTGGGCCCGCATTATTTCAACAAGCCCCTGTCGATTTTTGAACTGCCAGTATCTCTGCCCACAAAGATATAACCGCGTCGAAAGGAATATAGCAAGATCTAATGTTGAAACCGAGCCAGCTCAAGCCACTACTTCACATAGCCTTTGACAGTGTTCCTGCACTTCCCTGAAATTTTAAGAAAGCCTTAAGTGTTCCTGTGAGTTCACCACAATGCCCTGAATTTCCTTGGTGCAGCTAGAAATATGTGGACTTCTGTTTGTTTATCGGCTATGATTTAACAGTTTTAATTTGTATTTATAAATGAGTTCAAGTAAGTGTTTGTCTCTTTGATTAAGACACAGATTAGTGGGGTGCCTGGGTGGCTCAGTCGGTTAAGCATCCAAATTTGGCCTAGGTCATGACCTTGCTGTTCCCCAGTTCAAGCCCGGCATCGGGCTCTGTGCTCCAGAGCTTGGAGCCTGTTTCAGATTCTGTGTCTTCCTCTCTCTCTCTGCCCCTCCCCGACTTGTGCTCTGTCTCTCAAAAATAAATAAACATTAAAAAAATAATAAAAGACACAGATTAGTAAGGACATAGCTCATAGGGAATTTTTTAAAAGTAAATTCTTAGTTATATTAACATATTTCCCAAAAACATTACGTTTTCCCCACTTTCAGAAGATCCAGTGTTATACACTGTATGTATGGATTTTGGTACTTTTAAAAACTTGTATTTTTTCTCATTAAAAAATATTTAAAAAAATTTTTTTTTCAACGTTTATTTATTTTTGGGACAGAGAGAGACAGAGCATGAACGGGGGAGGGGCAGAGAGAGAGGGAGACACAGAATCGGAAACAGGCTCCGAGCCATCAGCCCAGAGCCTGAGGCGGGGCTCGAACTCACGGACCGCGAGATCGTGACCTGGCTGAAGTCGGACGCTTAACCGACTGCGCCACCCAGGCGCCCCTAAAAAATATTTTAAAAATTCTGGAAACTACACAGTGATATCGAGTAGAGTTGCATTTTAGAAGTTGCATTATTTGTTTAACTCTGTAATAAAGTGTTTCCAAGATTAATGTTTTTGTTCTTGTCTTAACATAGAATTGGTGGATCCAAATATTTTTATCCAGCCAATCACAGAAGAACGTGCTTCAAGGACTTTGTATCGCATTGAACTTCTAAGGAAAGTACGGGAACAGGCCCTCCGACATCCACAATTGTTTGAACGCTTGAAGCTTTGCCATCCAAATCCAGACCTACCAGTCTGGTGGGAATGTGGCCCTCATGATAGGGACTTGCTCATTGGAGCTGCGAAACATGGGGTGAGCCGAACAGACTATCACATTCTTCGTGATCCTGAACTCTCCTTTATGGCAGCTCAGAGGAACTACAGTCAAAGTAAGATGGCTCCTTCAAGGACTTCTACCCCACTTTTACAGCAATATCAAGTAGCACTTTCTGCTTCTCCTCTTACCTCTCTACCTAGGCTCCTAGATGCTAAAGGTATTATTCTAGAGGATATGAAAGTTAAAAGTGAAAATCTTAAAGAGGAGCCTCAGTCTTCTGAAGAAGAATCTATGTCTTCTGAGGAAACCAGGACACTAATAAAGTCTGAGCCTGTAAGTCCAAAGAATGGTGTTTTACCGCAGGCCACTGGAGACCAGAAATCTGGTGGAAAAGGTGAAACAGACAGACGCATGGTTGCAGCCAGAACAGAACCCCTAACTCCAAACCCAGCTTCTAAGAAACAGCGAGTCCACAAAAGAGGATCCGAATCTAGTTCTGAGTCTGACTCTGATTCTGAGAGATCATCCTGTTCTTCCAGATCATCTTCTTCCTCGTCTTCCTCCTCCTCTTGTTCCGACTCTCGATCAGGCTCTAGTTCCTCTTCATCCTCCTCCTGTTCTTCAGCATCGTCTTCATCCTCATCCTCATCCTCTTCCTCATCATCCTCCTCCTCATCTTCATCAGAAGAAAGTGACAGTGAAGAAGAAGAAGTCCCAAAGCGAGGTATATGCATAAAGTGCTTTTGCTATTTTAAGACATTTCAAGTGAAAATGAAAACGAATTCGGTTCACATAACTTAAGCATGCTTAAAATTGTTAACGTAAGTCTTATATGTACAGATTTTCTTAGAGAAGCACTATCGAAAAGGAAACTCGTGTTACTGGTGTACACTCCCTATTCAGTATGCAAGGCATTGCAAAACGGGTTAATCAAACAGAAATTAGACATTTTATACAATAATGGGTTTCTTTGTGATCACCTTCAGTTTAGTGTTCCTTTTTTTCTGAACATGCTGATCAGTGAACACATCAAGATCATATTCTGTAACAGCCAGCAGGGTTCTTAGATTAAGCCGTCAGACCAACAAGAGTATCATAGGCCCTCCTTGTCTCCTCAGAATGACACAGGAACTACAGTTTGCCTGTAGAGGAGTGTCAGGTGGCTCTGTGCTTGCTGCAGCCCACAGTTCAGGTGCAAGGCAATGAGTTGATGGCAAGGGGGTGCAGGAGCCAGTCTGGCCTAAGGAGCCTCAGATCCTGCAGAAGCCAGCGTCTCTTGTAACGGCTCTGTGAGCACAAGTTTCAGGGTTGCCACAAGGACGTGCCCCGACGTACAGGTCCTCTCCTGAGAGGATGTCAGTGTACTCCTCAGGTTTTTATGCTCCCCTCAGTCCAAATGCACTTTATCATTCTGGAGTTTATATGTGTCCAGGGAAACAGACCTACAGGGTTAACCGAGGGTCAAATTTTCATGCAGAAAGGGATGTTTTGTTAACCCTTCCCCCTCAAACTCTTTAATGCCACTTATTTTGCTTTTGTGATAATTTTTTTTTAAACAATGGGCACTGTATTGTATTCTAGGTGGATTTTTTTTCCTTTTTTGCCATTTGTTTTTACTTCTAACTTTTTCCTTTGAATAATTATATAAGATTTGAAAAGTATATATAAAATTTTTTTATGCAGTCTTTTTAAAACGGTTATAATTGTTCTCAGCAGAAGGTACCCCTCACGTGAAAGCCTACGATGAAGAAAGTGTTGCATCACTGAGCACTACCCAGGATGAGACCCAAGATAGCTTCCAGATGAACAATGGGACACCAGAGTCTGCTTATATCTTACAAGGAGGATACATGCTAGCAGCCTCATATTGGCCAAAGGTAAATGAGTAATGTCTTACCAGAACAGATCATTTTTTGAGTATTTCTCTATGTTGCTTTCATGGTAGGTAACTTACTGTGCGGAAAAATAGGTCACTAGAAAACATAGGATGGCATTTTGGTGTTAGCATCAGAAGTATCAACTACTGTTATCAAGTAAATAGGTGTACTTGAATGTGTATATTTCTCAACATAACCTTAGAATGTTTAGAATAAGAGATAATGGATGCTGACATTCACATACAATATTCAAGGGCTTGTTTATGAATGGGTGCTTTGAGCTGAGTCTCCTTGAAGAAATTTACCATAGCCATTTATGACTTAAAATAAAGTGCACTTGGGGCACCTCGGTGGCTCAGTCAGTTAAGCGCCTGACTCTCGTTTTTGGCTCAGGTCATGATCTCACACTTCATGAGGTGGAGTCCCTCACTGGGCTCTGCGCTGACAGTGCGGAGCCTGCTTGGGATTCTCTCCCTTCCTCCCTCCCTCCCTCCCCCTCTCCCTCTTTCTCTCTCAAAAATAAATTAATTAAAACAACCATTTTTTTGAAAGTTCACTTAAGTGTATGTACTTTCAGGGGTAGAAGTTCAGATCGGATTAATACAATACTGTCAGTGTGGCTAGACTAGTACAAGAGTACTTACCTTTAGGAGTGAGGTTGTGAAATGGGGAGGTGGAGAACTCTACTCTTACCTACTTCTGAATTGATTGAATTTTTCCAACAAACTTGTATTACTTGTATAATTATGAAAATAACAAGGCTGAGGCACCTGGGTGGCTCAGTTGGTTAAGCATCCAACTTTTGATCTCTGCTCCGGTCTTGATCTTGGGGTGTGGGTTCAAGCACCGTGTTGGGTGTGAAACCTACTTTATAAATAAAAAATGAAATTACAGAAGACTATCTCTGTCATATATTTTTGGACTCCAATGGAAATTTGTACTTGAACTCTTACGGAATTACATATGTACGTGAGAGTACGTATACACACCAAATGCACATAGGTTGTACCAGGGTTAAATCCATCAAGGCCCTGAGCCATTTTATCTCCGAAGGGCTGGCCTGACTATGAAAACCACACTTAGATGTTTGCATGCTTTTCCAGGATCGTGTGATGATCAACCGGCTGGACAGTATTTGTCAAACAGTTCTGAAAGGGAAGTGGCCTTCAGCTAGAAGAAGTTATGATGCCAACACAGTGGCCTCTTTCTATACCACAAAACTGCTGGACAGCCCTGGCGCGGCTACAGAATATAGCGAACCCAGTGTACCCACACCCCCAGGCGCCGGTGTTAAAGAAGAACACGATCAGTCAACACAGATGTCAAAGGTGAAGAAGCATGTACGAGAAAAGGAGTTTACAGTGAAAATCAAAGACGTATGTTTATTTTTATTGCCCTAGGACCCGATTGCGATTGCGTGTGCAGCATGCTTTTTCTGCAAGTGGCTGCCTGCTCTCACTCTTACTTCCTTCACATACTTGTTTTCTGGTATTTGGATTGTTTTCTTTTTGATATCCAGGTTATTAGGCTTGAATATCCTACTAGAAGGATCATCGTTAAATGTTTCTCTACCTATACTTCTGAAAATAGTCCTGCCAATCAAGAATGCTTTCTTAAACAGTCTGACAAATTCTAATTGTTTTGGTTCTTTTGTATAATATTTAAATGGTATGTCAGTGCACTTTCTCTTTTAAACATTTAGCATGCTCTGTTCTCAGTAACATTTCATTTTTCAGTATGAGTTTTGAAGCTAAATTGATTATTTGGTGTCTAATATGTGGGTTACATCCTCTGGAATGTCCTATGAATAATGTACATAGAGAAGTATGTCTCAAGCTGATAGTGTTCCAATTTACTAGTCACATGTAAAACTTTGTTTTGCTCAGAAAAGTGTATGTAGTACCTGGATTTTTTTCATTTAAGACAGAAAACGTAATATTCATTATAGAAATTGGTTGACGTTCTTTTTCTTTAGTTCATTTCTGAATAGGAAGATGATTAACGTTCAGGGTTTTTACTTCACTTTTTCTAAGTAAAAAATTTCTCTTAATAACCTGAAATGGGTTTTTTTTTTAATTGTTTCTTTCTTGATAATGGTGTTTATTAACAGGAAGGTGGTTTGAAGTTGACATTTCAGAAGCAAGGGCTTGCTCAGAAAAGACCATTCGACAGCGAAGACAGTGCCCTGGGGCAGCAACAGTACCTTGCTCGGCTTCGGGAACTGCAGAGTGCATCGGAGACCAGCCTCGCCACCTTTCCCAAATCCGTGCCAGTATCAGGTGAATATGGTCACAATAATTGCCTCAGTAGGAAATATTCCTGCTGTCATTTCCAAATCCTCTTTTATTTATTCTTCTAATAAAAAGGCATCTATCCTCAAATGTTGGGGTCTCTTTCAAGTCTGTAATCGGTATAATTTTAGTTCTTAATAAATACCTGTTGAGGCGTTTAATATGACATTTTAAAGCAGGGTGCAGTTTTATTTGGGGGATTTAATATTTGGGTGGAAATATTCTGTCGAGTCCCTTTATGCAGGTAAAAGCTCAAACAGCATTTCAATATAAAAGCAATTATGAATTTAAAAGCAAACACCTGAACCACAAATGAATGGTGATTTGTAGAGAAGGTTAAAATGAGAAGTTTTAGAAAGACTTTAGAGACAGTGTAGTCCAGTCGTCTATAGGATACAGGAATTGTCATGACTAATCCTTGAAAGACAATCTTTCTTTCTCATGGAATATTTACGGGAAAAAGATTGTTACTACCTTAAACAGCCCTTTATATTACTGGGCAGCTCTAATTACCACAAAATTCCTTCTTACTTAGAAGAAAATTTTGCTTGCAATTGTTTATTCTCAGTGATTGAGATTCTGACTTTAAAGGCATCACAAGGGGTGCCTGGGAGGCTCAGACGGTTGAGCGTCTGCCTCTTGGTTTCAGTCCGGGTCATGATGTCACAGTTCATGAGAAGGAGCCCCGCATCAGGCTCTGTATTAGACGTGGAATCTACTTAACATTCTGTCTCTCTCTCTGTCTGTCTGTCTCTCTGCTCCTCCCCCACTGGTGTGCACGCTTGTGTGCTCTCTCTCTCTCTCTCTTATAAATAAATATTTTTTTTTAATATTTAAATGTCTGACTCTTAATCTCAGTTCAGGTCGTGATCTCACAGTTTGTGGGTTCAAGCCCTGCATCAGATTCTGTGCTGACAGCATGTAGCCTACTTGGGATTCTCTCTCTCCCTCTTTGTGTTCTCCTCCCCACTTGTGCTCTCTTTCTCTCTCAAAATAAATAAATAAACTTAAAAAAATTTTTTTTAATTATTAAAAAAGTAAAGACATCAGAGAATTAACCTATTCCTATGTTTCCATGATCATCTTAACATTTTGAAAGCAATGATCATATCTCCTCCTCTTTGGGACTGTATCTCTTCTAACCTTTTAACAATTTGAATCAATAGTATTTGTTAGATACCAAATCGGTGCCACATGTTGTGTGCTCTGTAGGTGCTGAGGTCCATAAGAAGTTTTGTTTTGTTTTGTTTTGTTTTGTTTTGTTTTGTTTTGTTTTGTTTTCTTGATCTTGGTCTAGTGTGCTTTAATTTGTCTGTGTCCCTTTTAAAGTGCAGTATCAGAAATTGAGAATTTTACTCATGATCAGCTGAGTCTTTACAAAATGCAGTTTTCAATTAAAGCAGATTAGTGACTTGAATTTCCATTACACCTACCATTTACATAAGGCTGAGGACCCTGTTTCAGTATTCTACTAGATCTGGTTGCCATGCAGTATTTGAAAACATTTCAGATCTCCTGCTGTGCATGAGCACAGTGTGTGGGACTCCTACGATTTGGGAAAATAATGCTTTATTATAAGTGTTAAATTGGTTGCTATTCCCAATTGCTGCTGTCATGACTTTTTAATTATAAATCATAGTTAAATTATAAATTAGTACCGTCAGTATTCCTTACAGATTCATTAACCATTCATTGTAATTCTCTAGTTCCTGGACTTTCAGACATGTACAGATTGCAGTTCAAATATGAATCAGCCATGCTTCTACTACTGAAGTATAAATCCGCAAACTGTGCTTTTCATTAACAGTATTGTATTAAAGGAGCTCTGTGTTTTTAGGGGAAAAATGGGAACAAATGGGGAAGATAAGCTGTGGGCTCTTTTGACTAACCTAAGTGGGGTTTAGAAATACAATTTCTTGTACTCTGATAACTCCACCATAAAATGGGATTGACACTAATATCATCTGAACATTTTATTGCTATTGCAGCTGAATTGTACAGTCTTCACCTTTAAGGTTATTTAAAGGTTACTTTGGCAAATATTACTATTTTTAATAGTATAAGTAGTAATTGTGACACTAATCTGCAGCTATGTAAAATATTAAAAAGCCTCAGACATTAAAACTAGGCAGAGTTATTATCTAAGCATTATATCTCATCCATCTTACTAATTGCAAATGTGAAATCTAGATTTGCCTTCCTATTCGACTCTTAGAACATCTCAACAATTTTTTCCCTTTTCTTGTTTATGAAATGAAGGGTTGGGGTAGGAGAGAGTTGTTGGGTGAGATAAATAATATGTGTAGAGTGGCTAATATGGAGCCGGGTACATAATTAGATGCTAAACCAATGTTAAAATTAGGTACCTCACAGGTTTTAGAATTAGATGCTGAATAAATACTATTATCATAATTCTTAATATTCCAAAGCCTAGGCCCTTTTTATGTTTATATGGGTCCCTCTGAATTTTATCTGGGTCCCTCTGAATTTTATCTGAAAGTTTCCAATAAAGATACAGGTTGTAATGTAATTTAATTAATGAAGGGGATAGTAAAATAGCATAAATTACAATAAGACAAAACTAAAGAGCCCATTCCAGAAACTACCTGGATTAATGAACAGAGAGTGTTGATAGAGCCAAACAGCCTAGGGTTTAATTCTGTCATTTGCCAGCTGTGACATTAGGCCGGTAACTTAATGTTTCTGAGCTCATTTATAAAATAGGCCTCATATTACTTCTGTGTTGGGGTGCCTGGGTGGCTCAACTCTTGATTTCTGCTCAGGCCATGATCTTGTAGTTGTGGAATCAAGCCCCACACTGGGCCTCGTGCTGAGTGTGGAGCCTGCTAAAGATTCTCTCTCTCCCTTTGCCCCTCCCCCACTCTCTCCCACATGAGTGCTCTCTCTCTAAAAAAAAATTTGTAATGAAAAAATAATACCTCTATGATTTTATTGTTTCGTTTTTGATGATTTAAGAAAACACTTGTTAAACCTCGTTCAGTGTGTGGCACCTCGTAGACATTTAGCAGAAAGAAGCTATTTTTAATAGTGTTATAATTACATCTATGACAAAGGCAATACAAGCTTTATAAAGGAGATTAAGTTAAATTTTCCATTTTGGATTCTAGCTTAAATCAGTAACGTTTATAAAAATCACCCTCAGAAATAACTCAAGGTGGCTCAGTTTTTTTAAGAAAGAAAAAAAGGAAGGAAGGGCATCACAGTAGTATATAATTGGCCAAAGAAAATATGTTTATGAATTGTCAAATAGGGTATGTTTATAAATGCACACTTTGGTGTATATGCAGTTGTTTTTCCAGAGATAATTAAGTACTTTTTTATATCACACCGGAAATAGAGTAAAGAGAAAGTGAAAAGAAACATAGACACTGTCTGCCTTTCAGTTGCTTGGTAGACTAAGACCTACATGTTAAAATATTAGACAAGACTTTGGAGCACCCGTGTGGCTCAGTCAGTTAAACATCTGACTTGGCTCAGGTCATGATCTCCCGGTTCACGTGTTCAAGCCCCGAGTCAGGCTCTGTACCGACAGCTCAGATTCTATGCTGTCCTGCTTCAGATTCTGTGTCTTCCTCTCTCTCTGCCCCTCCCCCTCTTGCACTCTTATTATCTCTCTCTCTCTCTCTCTCTCTCTCTCTCAAATCTAAACAAACATTAAGAAAATTTAAATATCAGACAAGACATTAACAAAACAAGATAATATGTTTTGCCACACAGCACATTATAGTTACTAAATACCAGAGAAGAGGGGAGCCACTGCTGTCTAGAAACTTAGGCAGAGTCCTCTGGAAGAGGTAGAATTGAAAAGGATTTATAAGAGGCAGATTAGATAATGGTCTTTCTGGAAAGTGACCTTCCCAGGAGAGGTGGAAGAGAAGCAGAGAATAGCATGAACCAGAGACTTGATAGTATGGTTTTGTGATAAGATTGACATAGCTAGTATGTAAATCCCTACTGGAGAGATATTTGTATGAAATCAGAGCCTGCTTAGAAAAGGTGAATCTAGGTTATACACAACATAAAAACTGAGCTGGGGCAGGGATTGAGGGTTGGGGGTCATGCTGGAAAGGGGCTAATACAAGGTATTTCATTCATATTAGAATAGAAAGTCATGGGGCACCTGAGTGGCTCAGTCAGTTGAGCGTCTGACAGTTGACTTTGGCTCAGGTCATGATCTCACAGTTCGTGGGTTCGAGCCTTGCATCAGGCTCTACACTGATGGCACGGAGCCTGATTGGGATATTTCTCTCTCTCTCTCTCTCTCTCTCTCTCTCTCTCTCTCTCTCCCTGCCCCACCCCCTGCTCGCAGTTTCTCTCTCTCTCAAATAAATAAACGTAAGAAAAGAAAAAAAAAAGAATAGGAAGTTTTGAGAAGTTCTTATAAAAAAGAATAGTACTTTTGGGGCGCCTGGGTGGCTCAGCCGGTTGAGTGTCCGACTTCGGCTCAGGTCATGATCTCACGGTCTGTGAGTTCGAGCCCCGTGTCGGGCTCTGTGCTGACAGCTCAGAGCCTGGAGCCTGCTTCGGAGCCTGTCTCCCTCTCTCTCTGCCCCTCCCCCGCTCATGCTCTGTCCCTGTCAAAAATAAATAAACATTTAAAAAAAATTTTTTTTAAAGAATAGTACTTTAAAAATGGTACTTTGGGAAAGTTAGTTTATTGTTATAGCTGAAATGTGCTAGGGGCACCTGGCTGGCTCAATTGGTTGAGCATCCGACTTCAGCTCAAGTCGTGATCTCAAGGCTCATGGGTTCAAGCCCCACATCTGGCTCGCTGCTATCTGTGTACCTGCTTCAGATCCTCTGTCCCTCCCTCTCTATGCCCCTCCCCTATTGCGTGCGCTCTCTCTCTCTCTCTCTCTCTCTCTCTCTCGTTCTCGCTCTTTCTCTCTCTCAAAAATAAGCCTTTAAAAAAATAAAGTAAAATGTGCTATAGTGAAAGTATTTTCAAATCATTTATAATGTTTTGTGAATCTGGTTATAATGAAATTCACTAGGTGGATAATGAAAGCTTTTCTTTATAAAGTTATGTCACATTCCTAGTGTGCTTTTTTATATGCAAACCTACTTTTTAATCATTGTAACTAGCAATTCCTTACCATATGATTTAAGGTACCTTTTTGAAACTGAGATGTGATGAAGGTAAGTGGCTTCCATAAGGTTGCACAGCCAGCCAATGGGCAACTCCTTATTCAGGGATACCCTGGACTTGCTCTAAAAATTTTCCTTGAATTGATTAAAAATGCATTTCTCACTATATGCTGTGAATTATTTTAAACAAACATCTCATCGTTAACAGTATTTTAAGGAGAGCTCTAGATTATGTACTTTTGAGGACAGGAACACCATTTAACTACTCTTCGAACCATTGTAGGACCTTGTACCTACGTACAAGCTATTCGATAAGTATTTATTTATTGGAAAAAAATGGCTGAATGCATGGAACTTTAATTCATTTACTTGCAGACATTAATTCACTTACAGACATTTTTATTGAAATGTGGAACAATGAAGATCAGTTTAACTTGGCAACTAAAAAGTTAGTGGTGATCTTAAAACCCCTGACAAAAGCTGGCACAGGAACGGACTATGGGAAATTGAGGAAGGAGTTGGTCGTGAAAAAGAGAGCACAACAAATACTAACCTTTCGAAGGTTTGGGGAATTATAAAAGGCTGAAAGAGGTTTATTTGTTGTTTGAGTTAGGCCATGTTTTTAAGTCAGGGAAAAGAATCTGATACAGAATGGGTATTTTGGCACAAGAAAGTAGACTGATAAAACAAGCTTTCAGAAAAGGTAGGAATTAGTGGCTGCAGAGGAAGGAGAAGGATTTGTCTTATCCGTGAGAAAGACACATTTCCTCCTCTAAAAGGGAGAGGAAGAGGGGCGCCTGGGTGGCTCAGTCGGTTGGGCGGCCGACTTCGGCTCAGGTCATGATCTCACGGTCTGTGAGTTCGAGCCCCGCGTCGGGCTCCGTGCTGACAGCTCGGAGCCTGGAGCCTGTTTCAGATTCTGTGTCTCCCTCTCTCTGACCCTCCCCCGTTCATGCTCTGTCTCTCTCTGTCTCAAAAATGGATAAACGTTAAAAAAAAAAATTAAAAAAAAAAAAAAGGAGAGGAAGATAAGATGTGTGAGAATCAGGGGGGGAAATTTGAAGAGACAAGTCAAAAAGTTGATTATAGTTTTCCAAATTTTCAAATGAGGAATAGGGGTGGTGTAAAATAAGAACTAACACTTCCATATATTTAGAAAAATTATTGCTTTTAATTTGCTTAACATCTAGATTTTGACCACTGTTTTGCATTTTTTTATTTGATTAGGTACTTCCATTCAGTCAACCCTTGGTGCCAATGGAGTTAGATTAGACAACCAGCCTATAGTCAAAAAAAGGCGGGGAAGGAGGAAGAATGTAGAAGGTGTTGACATCCTCTTTTTTAACAGAAATAAACCACCTAATCATGTAAGTAAAAACTACTGATCCTTGAGTCCAAAATTCAGTCCTAGTAAATATACATCTTGCTATTCTGTGAATGTTTTATAGCATAAAAATATTAATTAGGAAATTAGATTGTACTTTGGGTTCTATTTCAGAGGCATCCAACACTGCCTAAGATTCATGAAAATTTTAAATTTGAAAAACTCACTTTTTTCCTCTTCAAAAAGATTTGCTTCATTGGACTTTGCAAAGAATTGAATGATAAAGCATAGCAGTAAAATTTTCATTTGGTGTTTTTCTACAGGTAACTGTAGGCCTAACCAGCTCCCAGATTTCTACAGGGATAAATCCAGCACTGTCCTACACTCAGCCTCAAGGAATTCCGGATACAGAAAGTCCGGTTCCGGTTATTAACCTGAAAGATGGGACAAGACTTGCAGGCGATGATGCGCCAAAGAGAAAGGATTTGGAAAAATGGCTTAAGGAGCACCCAGGTTATGTGGAAGATTTAGGAGCTTTTATTCCTGTAGGTGATGCCTTACAAATCTTGGTATTAATTTTATTTCTGTGACTTACCAAATCTGTGCTGATGAAGCATAAATTTTTACCCACTTATGTAAATACATGTTCTGCCCAAGATTTAGGAAAGCTAACAGAAAAAAATACCATTTTCCCCATCAGTGCCTTTTTCCATTTTTCCATTCTGTGCTTAATAGTAAAAATCACCTCCAATATACAGAGTACCATGTAAGACCCAGTGAAGGTTATAAAGGGATAACATTTCCAATCCTTTTCCTCAAGGAGTTTATTTTAAAATACTAATGATCAGGGGCACCTGGGTGGCTTAGTCAGTTAAGTGTCTGACTTCAGCTCAGGTCACGATCTCACAGTTTGTGAGTTTGAGCCCCGCGTGGGGCTCTGTGCTGACTGCTTAGAGCCTGGAGCCTGCTTCTGATTGTGTGTCTCCCTCTCTCTCTGCCCCTACCCCTCTCACACTTTGTCTCTGTCTCTCTCTCTCCCCCCCCTTTCTCTCTCTCAAAAATAAATAAACATTAAAAAAAGTAAAGTAATAAATACAGCCTGGGTGCGCCAGTGGAGTTAAGCGTCGACTTCAGCCAGGTCCGCGATCTCTGATCCGTGAGTTTGTGCGTCAGGCCTCTGGGCTGATGGCTCAGAGCCTGGAGCCTGTTCAATTCAGCTGTGTCTCCTCTCTCTCTCACTTTCTCCCCGTTCTGTGTCTCTCTGTCTAAAATAAATAAAGCGTTGAAAAAATTAAAAAAAAAAAAGTAGTAATAAAAATAAAGTAAAACTGGTGATGTATTGAGATTGCCTGGGTTATCAGTCTTGGATTATGAGACTTGATTTTCAGGGTCTTGATCTTACTGTTCAAATTGAGCCCCATGTCAGGCTCTGTGCTGACAGCGTGGAACCTAAGGATTCTCTCTCTCTCTCCCTCTCTTTCTGCCCCTCCTCCACTCACACATGCTTTCTCTCAAAATAAAATAATAAACTTAAAAAAAATACTATGATGTATTAACCTGTATTGAGATTTAGCTATTTAGCATCACATTAGCATAACGCATTATATTATCTCATTAGACTCATTTTTTAACTTTATCAGGCCAGTGTATGGCTTTTTTGAATAAAGACTTAAAAATGCCTAAATTTAGTAAATATTACAAGCTACACAGTGTATTCAGTGTCCAAACTACTGCTTTTAAGCTCTTCTTCAGGCTATATTAGCCATCCTTAGCTGTTGTGTCTCCAGATGCGCATTGAGTTTACATTAATCATTGAAATTGTTATATTTCATTTTACATCCCTGAAATACTTTGTGCTGTTATAGGCATGACTTCTTACTCATGAAATGTTATTTTCATTTTTGCGATATTTTTTTTTTTTAATTTTTAATGTTTGTTATTTTTAATTGAGAGACTGAGCATGAGCAGGGGAGGGGCAGAGAGAGGAGACACAAAGATCAGAAGCGGGCTGGGCTCTGAGCTGCCTTTATAGGCAGACTGGGCTAGAACTCACAAAAAAACTGTGAGATTATGACCTGAGGCAAATAGGGCAACAACTTGTTGAGCCACCAGAGTGCCCCTCATTCTGATATTTTACTATTAGATACTGATTACAAATTTGTGCCAGATCCTCTATACAATGAAGCTAGCAGACCTATTATCTGCCTTCACAGTATGAGATTAAATGGACAGCCAGTGAGAGCTGTCTTAGTACTCTGAGGACCCATGTCCTAGTTACCCCAGGACTTTGTATCGGACTTATTTAGTACATAATC